GGATATCTCTTTGCAGGCCCTTTACTCTGGCAATCGATATTCACCGGCTGCCAAATGGGTCAGCGCCTTTTGAGACTCAATCTTGTCAATATTTTTCCATCAATTTTACAAATTCAAAATCGAAATCAGCTCTTAAGCATCACTTCAAGTGAAATTTCACTTTTTTTTAGTCTAATATAGTACATGGAATAAAATTTTCAATATATACTCTAGTACATCGTCAGCCTATGCGTAAAATTTATATTTAAAAAAAAGCGGACGTTTCGAGAATAGAAAAGGAGAAATTAAAAATTGAGAGAAAAATAACGAAAATTTGCGATTTTCATATATTTATGCTTAATGAATCAATAAAAATGAACAATACCGATAATTAATATAATTCATTATCATATACTTCCTGTTTTATCAATTATCAATTAATGATTTATAAATAGTCAGCTACAGAATATTCATATTTTAATCATCTATGCTGTCAATTTGACTTTTTTTTCCTCTAGAAAAAAAAAAAAAATTTTACTCGTTCATTTTCCGCTGGAAAGTGATGGAGAAATGTATCGAAATAACAACCGGATGCCCCACAAGGATTCACCTTGTTAGATATCAACTTCCACGGACTTTATCCTCCAGTCGCAGAAACTCGCATCAAACGGAGATAAAAGTACTTCTCCAACTGGAAAGTTTGAACAAAATTGAAAAACACGTTTGCTGAACTATAGACGGAAAGTAACGTTTCCACGTAGGAGGAACTGCGGGAACGCTCAGAACGCATCCCTATAATTTTACTTCGAGAATTCTCTGACATGTTGTCGCGTATCATTGAATCCATCTGATATCTACCACTGCCTTCAAGGTATACCCCGTTTCATCCCACCCAGAAAACCAATTCAATTCGATCAATTCAGTTCACTCAAGCTGATTCTTCTATCTCTGTCGCCGGAATTCTTATAATTCATGAAAAATGTCTGACAAAACGTACGGCACATGAATTTAATATCATCTCATCTTTATAGGACAAGAATATATACTTTTAATAATTATATAAAGTGTATATAAAGTGTATTCCGCACACAACTAGAACTTGTGAATTAAATCATTACGGTAAATTATAATTGGGTGTAAAACAATCCAATTAATTGTCTTGAATTAATCATTGAATTTCAGATTTTCATTAGGATATTATCTATGATTAATTGAAATTTTGTCATTATATTTATAATTGTTGTAGTAAAAACAGTTTTATACATGAAGATATAATTGTATGCCTCCGAAAAAATCGAAGGCATTCTAAAAATTCCGAATGTTTTTTTAAACTCACCAATACCCGATTAGAAGCTCTTGAATTTCAATGAAGGTCTAGTGAACCTGCAACTAACTAATTTCTTAAAAATCGTTGATTAATAATAATTCTAATAATTATTTGAGGTACACCTTGAATTCAAATATTCCCGAACTTTCAATTCTTTCCAATACTGTAAGAGCATGGGAAAATACAAAAGCCTTTCACAATTAAAATAGTGGATTTTGAGTAATAAATTAAATTGGAAGTGGAAAGGCGTGATAAATTTTGTAAATGATGAATATTCCTGAAAATTTGTGTCATTTGGTTAGTAATTGTATGCATTAAGCAGATCGAGGAAAGAACCACCTTTTGTTCATTTCACGCGTCGCCGGAAACTTTGTATACATTGACTGTGTATGTTGGCAGTACGCCTTTACAACAGCCATCGGCGTAGCTTTGAAAACGGTTAACAGCTAATTTTGTAATTCGTCGTCTTTTCCCTCTTCGTGTTTCCATCTATTCTCACGTTCTCCTCGTCGATGTGTATTCATTTGATGTTTGCAATACGCGAAAACTTTTCAAGTTTGATTCGACGATTGACGAAGAGATGATTTGCTTTCAACCTCATGTCCTCGTTCTTAATTCGTATCTGGGGACCGAGAGGCAATAATTTTCCCGTCTCATACATCCTTTGACTAGTGTTTCTCCATGATTAAGTGGATACGTTTGGTTCGGCCATTGTAAACAGAGCGCAAGTTGATAATTGAAAGTGCAGTGAGCGATCATCGGCTCGATGCGAATTATTGATTCAGGTGATCAATCGATACATCTATCTGGGGCGTGCATACACTCCTGCAAAGTTGCTACTTCAATTTCAAGCAAATTATGTTACAAATTCAATTAAAACAATCTTCTCCGACAATTTCATTATCAATTCAATAGGTAAGAATTTTCGAATGTCTTCAGATCCGCGCAACATAGCTTAATTATTCTATACCTTTTTCTGCAGAATAAAATGAAAGCTACAAAAAAGATTTATTTAAAATCAAAAGAACTTCATTAGAAAAAACTCCAAGAGTTACAGAACAATCAAGAACAATCAAGATTCTTAACAAAAATTTTCTCTCAAATCGATTCATTCTTTATTCACATTCTAAAATTCAAGGGATATCTCTTAATCTAAGAAAGATAGGAGAATTTTTCTTATGACCTTTCTCTTCGAGCGGAATGAGACCTACAAAAAAGGTCCCAACAACGATTTCGCCAGGTCTTCTCGATTCAGAGATATACTATAAGTACTCACAGAGTAGCCAAAACGATTTGTTAGCGTCTATTGAATTGAATCCCCGCAGTTCGCAATAGAGAATCCCAATGCAATTACTACAGAAAATTCTGAAAACCTGTAACAGTGTTACACGTGAATGTCTCAATATTTGTTTTTATGGAAGTTCTTTCTCCGAGGGTTAGTTCGAGGTTTGTGAGTCAAAAGTTGCAAGACGGGGGAGAACAAGGTGCGGCGGTCGATTTATAGCATATTTCGCTCACCATAAAACGAAATGGGGAGACATTCACGGGGAATGCCTCGTATAAGTAAGAAACTTCCACGATAATATGAGTAATAGCGAGGGTGAAAGGAGAAGGAGACATTCTCCAAGAATATTCCAATACATTTATTGATAAAATTGATAGTTTAAATTTTTTCAATATGATTAATACGCAGTATAAATAATAATGTCAGTACATTAATTATCATTAATGCATGTTATTTTCATTATTATCACTCCATCAGATAATCTAATAGTAAAAGTCCAGTCTGGGAACCCGAAGGTCATGGGTTCAAGTCCAGGCGTCCACCATTTTTCAATATCAACTTTAGTTCTTGTTTTTATACACTCGTTAATTAAAATACATTACCTTCATCTTTGATGGCTCCAACATTTGTAGGAGGTCGTCTGATCATGCTAATAATTATTTCAAATATTTAATCTGAATGCTCATACGCATGTATGACGTTCGGCGTTGAATACTCAAATCATCCATTTTTAATAGATTGTGGTTCTTCTAACTGAGGAATCTCGATGGGTATGAAGGATATCGGGTGTCATCGACTCGCACTCCAATCGCACTCATCATCGATTCTCCAGAACCTGAAAATAATAGGTCCTTCAAATTCCTCAGGTTAGGAAACAGCCTACGCTGTTTATCCAAGGAATAACAATCAGGGATTCATAACTCGAGGCATCACAGGATATCACGACTTTAGAAGCCCTTCAATCGCGGAAATGTCGGGGAGAGTTAAATAGCTAGTGATTTCTTGCATAGGAATGATGCGTTTTACATGCGTTGGAAGAAGTAAAAAGATCATGAGACACCTCCGGCCAGTCCTCCCCTTTTCCCGTAACTGGAAACCACTTTTCTTGACTTATGCAATTGTTCGAGACACGAAACGCTCGGAATTATCAAGATGTGGAATTTATGCAGGAATGCTAAGTCTTTGGTAACGAAAAAGAATCTACTTGTTGAATTTCCTCTAAGCGCTTTTAAAAACTTGTAAAAATTATGATCTGATTAAATATTGAATTTTTATCTAATCGCGAATTATATGCAGTTTCATTTTTTTTGGCTCTTGCTTCTTGCTCTTCCTTCAATTTCGAGATATGGAGTAAGAAATGGCCTCGAAATATTTATTTTGCATTTATCCTAGTTTACCCCTTCGCAACCGAGGTAAAAGGACAAATTAAAATTTTTCACAGGAAAATTTTTCACTCCCTTCAACTGACGAGGTGAAATAAAAAATAACCCGTCAAAAAGTTGCGATGTTTAAATCCCAAATGACGAAAAAAAAATGATGAAACATTTAAGAAAGCCCGTTATTACCACCTTCACCGTAAAAAACCTCAAAACCTCCAGCGAAAGAGGGAAAAAAAAATGGCGTCGGCGCTCTCAGTTGTGGCTAACGATAATATCCCCCGGTGTTTTCGGAGCCACTCCTGGTGACCACGACGATGCAATAAGATAAAACAGTCACCGTAGTCCCCAAGAAAACCAAAAGAACCCCAGAAATATATATTTGAAGAGAAAAAAGAGAGAGAAAGGAATGATGAAACCGGTTGGATTGTGCGGAGGGCCGCAGAGGTGCATTTATACGCCCGAAGGAAACTGAGAAGTGGTCACCGAATACAGCAGCGATGCTTCCTCGGTTATCGGTAGTACGCACTCTCTCTGGGGTTTTGCACACAGAAGTGAAGGGGAAATATAAACTCGATGAATATCCTTGCCAGTGTAGATCGCACCAATCCCATCGGCCCATTCATTCCCTCGCACGAGCGTCTGCATTTTTATTTCCATTTCCATCGTACTCCATCGAAATATATATTATTACCACTTCCGCAATACTCACAGCTATTTTTCTTCTCCCTCTTATCGCTCTTCCGTGGTAAATTGATTTTTACCTGCGTCCTCAAGAATTAAATTGCGCAATAAATCGGAATGAATTGAGAAAAGGAACAGGTGTTGCTAATTCTTCACTTTTATTGCCGTTTTCTGGCATTTTTCATTTTTCATTTTCATTCACCGTTTAAGGTATTGTAAATTATTTTTATGAACTTATTCTGAATTCGCGAATATATTCTGCGGGATGCACCGAGAATATTCAGAAAAATTTCGGTGTAATGAATTGGGAAGAGAAAAGTGATAGAAATTTCCACTTTTATTGGGGTTTTCTCCATTTTACAGTTCTTTACCTGGCTTCTTTATTTTTTTCCTACAAACCTTAATATTTTCGATTTTATGCATAAGTTAGGCACAATTGAGAATTATCGAGTTATTGAAAAATAACATAACCTCGTGTTTGGTCCTCCATACCACAGTAATTACAAAAATAAGGCGAAAGTGTTAGATAAATTTGTCGTTAAAACTGCCTCTTTACGACCCTCGTTATAGGTACGATCAAGTCCTTTGTTGTATTAAAACTATTGTAACAATCTCTGACTAGAGAAGGACTAGAGTCGTCCGCTCATCTCAAGCGAGTTAACTTAAATGAAATTACAATCGAGTGAAATAACGCGAATCAGCGATACGTAAATTTAAAATGTCCATTCGCGTCGTTGAATCGCACAGTAGCGAGAAGGCACTCCTCTGACTTTGGCACTTGCACAATGAAATTACAATCTTGTTTGTTTCGAAAGAATGTCTTTTGAAACCCGTTTACCTCTCGGAACTGGACAATTTTATGTAACGAGTTCGGCACTTTGAGGTACGAAACAGCACTTGAACGTCGGTGGTGTTCCCGCTGTTTTTCACTGTACTTTATTTCTTCGCCAATACTTCCGAGTTTATTCATTATCATCTTGAAGATGTGCATGATACTGGCGCTGAGTTCTTGAGAGGGGGGACAGGAATCTGCAAAAAAAAAACGAATAATTTATTCCTTCTACATCTCCACATTTCGTATTCCAATTGCACTTTCAAGATAATCACGTCGAAAAAAAGTTGTCATCGATCAAGTCCAACTGAATCATCCGCTGTTAAAAATTCCTTGAAATTCCAGTCACAGTCATCCGGATTTTCAATTTCATGAATATGAATTCAATGTTAATTAAAAACGGTCAGAAAATTATCTCAAAGAAATTCTCATTTTCATGGTCTTTAAAATTATGTAATCATCTTGTCTTGAAAATAAACAGTGAATTGTCCATGCAATTTAATTTTTTTTTCCTAACACGTAGAATGAACAATAATATTATTTTTTTTAATGATTTGATAATTTGTGATAAATAATTTAATTAAACTTTGATGGAGTTCCTTCTATAGGACAGACCGAGAGCAATCTCTCCCGACGAATTTCACGTTGAACGCGGTTTAAAGCCGTTTTAATTCCAAATAACATAGCGTTTCTAATCTACTGTGCAACGGTGAATCATCCCACCTGCATCAGGCCTCTTGTAGATCTCCTTTTGTACCGGGTACACCGTGTTGATGCCTCGTAGCCAATTTGTTGGCCAGCTCGTGCATCACGTCTCGATAGATGACGGTGTCCAAATTTTCGCCGAGCATGTAGAGGAGGAACCAGTCCCCCACTTTGCTCCGTCGGACTATCGTCTCTACTGCGTCCCTTCGAACGAGGCGAAATCGGAGGCGGAGGAGATATACTCTGGTGCGAGGGGAAAATATTATGACAATCTGAAAATAAAAACAAAATTCCCTCGTCCATTATACCCAAAACCGAAAAACATTCAGTGCGATTTAAAATGTCGTATTGACACGCGGAAAAATTTCCGATAAAAAAATTTAATTGATAAACGAAGAAATTTTCTGAAGTGTATTTACCAATCCAGAACGTTTATTTAGCGAAATAATTTTTTTTCTCAGCGTATAAATTTTTTAATAAAAAAAATTTGCTCTATATCTAAACACATCTGAACACAATATTGAAAATGGATATTGGATAGATTTACATTAGATCAGTTGATTGCTATGGGATTGAAATTATTTTCTAATTGATAATGTTACAGTGATAAGTACTCACTCTGTACAAAACAGTCACTAGGCTGAGAATCCCAAGAAAGAGGAACCAGAACCACAGGAACACATAAATCTTCTCGTTGACAACATTCAACGGAAGTATGCAAACAGCATCGTGTCTCTCCACTTCTCCGCTCACTCCGTACTTGTAGAACGTGCATTTGGTCATCCTCGGGAAAACGTAGATCATCGGATCTATTCGATCCTCTTGATCCGACTCGATGAACCTCAAGACGTCGATGCCAAACGTGAGGAACGCACCGTCGAAGAACCGATTCATGAGGAACATCTGACCTGTGCAATAAACTCCAAACTCACACAGAGGAAAAACATGTGTTGATCTTAAAAAACAAACTCTAGTCGTTCAAGACTAGACTCTTAAACTTTGAAATTAAAAAAAAAATTTTTTATCGTAGAAACAAAATTATTAATTGTTAAATGATGTCAAGAGCTTCTAGCGTGAGTTTGCAATGAGCTTTCTGGTATTCAGACTCTTGCTTGCCAATATTTACAATTTTTATCTAGCCTTAGAATTTTTTTTTTGACATAAATTTTTTTTCCTCCATGCAACAATTGTTTCGGAAATCAGGGGATTATGATAAGTGTTCATTACGAGCTTCATTGCTGGTCTCATTCGGCGCCAGCCAAGTGGGCTGCTGCCAAGTAATCGCGAGTTGAGCGAATTGCTTTCATAAACGTAGTTATTGTTTATTGCGGGAAGATTGTTGTTTCGACTTGCTCGCAATAACAATTATTATTCCAAGATTTATTCTTTATGTCATAATTCATGATTGCTGTTTCCTTCTTTAAAAAATCATCGCTATTCCATGACTCCATCAAAAAAGCTGCCTCAAAACTCGATGATTAAAATATTTTTTAATTTACCGTTCAAAGTCGAAATGATTTTTTAATTCATGGCGATTTGCCCGTGTGGAATTTTATCGCGGAAACTGAATTGAGTATAAATTTCTAATGAATTCATTCGCAAGGAGAAATTGAGGGAAATTTAAAAACCGAATTGCAGGAGTTTTGCAGAAATAAAGGAGTGATGTACAATTCGGGATGAATCCGTGAAAATTGAGAGTAAATGATTGAGTTTAGAAGGAGAGGATTTTTTTGAGGGTAATATTTAGAATAATAGTAAAGTGAAAAAGTTTGGAGTTTGGAGTTGAAGGTTTGCGTTATCCCACGTTGAAAGCTGTGTTGGAACGCATGTAACGGACAACGAAAAAGCCGAGTTTTTTCCCCCATTACCCTTTTTTAGAGGCATCATCCTCCACAAACTCACCGACGACGTTCAGCAAGGCAAGCACTTCGCAGAGATAATATCTGTAGGCCCACCAGTTGTGGTAGCGTAGATTTTCCCACAGATAATCGAGAAGCATTTTCTTCTTCTGCTTCTTCTCGACCTCGGAGCAAAGACCGATGTCGAGGTCCATCATCAGGGCGTGAATCTTGCCGCCCTCCCAGCCCTTCCACAACCATCTCGGTGTATAAAACAGTATTGCCTGAAAGTAGATAAAACCGAGGAGGTCAGGTGATTATTTCACGCTTATTTTCCCCTTTTCATCGTCGAGGTCATCGTATTAATTACAAAACCCTCGGGAAAAGGCTCCATTCTGTGATGATCAATATCCCCGATAAATAGAAATACTCAGACGTTGCGGGGCTCAGGCTAAAGGAAACCGTAAATAACCGTTTTGCACTCGTAACTCGCTGTTTGCTGAAATTTACAGCGTTATATATTTGCTTTAATAGAAGAGTAACGAGAGAACAAGGGGGGAGGATATTTGCACGTTGAAACTTTTCGTCATGCACTGCTGGATGAGCGTAAACCAATTTCGTAGAACTGCTTGCAGTTGTACCTTGGGCCGAGACTGATTTTCAGAAAAATTTTACTTCTACTCAAGGGAAAATCACAATTCCCCGGATATGAAAAATCCAGTGAGGTTCTAACATTCGAGGACAAGTCGTTTTCCTGCGAACGGAAAAAATTTATTCCGAGTGGAAATAATAAATTTATTTGGTAGAAAAGAATTTTCTGGATTAAGAAAAAAAGGTTCTCGAATGTCAGGAGTAAATTTTAAATTTGTCGTCTTAAGGCTTTTTTTGGGCCTGATTTAGATGGAGCTTTCGCCCACGGGTAATTCCATTGTCACAGGCGCTCACTCGAGTCCAATATTTATTTTCATCAGTTGAAATATCCTTACGAAACCCCGGACAATGGCGGTGGTGTTTATTTTCGGGGGTGTCAGCTGGCATCTACATGCTATTTTTTTTTGGGCGAATTTTGCAACGGGGAGTTGACGAGGTGACCGGAAAATCGCTACACTGAGAAAAAAAATCATTTTTATCAAGAATTCATTTATTTAAGTGAAGTATGTACTTTGGGAGGTAGAAGAAATAGATCAGAAAAAAATAGCCCACACATCCAAAATGTGTTAAAGCCCACCCAATTTATTGATTAATAATCCATTATCCGTTATTTTATTGTTAAATGAATATGAATTAATTATGCTAGTGTGGGCTATCACAATTACGAAAATAAATTGAGACTCTTAATTACGGAGATATCAAGAAAATCCACTTGAGAATTTATTATCTCCATTGGTGTCTTTTTCTGGCCAAAATGACTTATATCTGTTGTCGTTTTCAGCAGCTCATCTGGATTTATACTGTCCATTTTCTCGGGCAGAAGGTTCTCGGTAAAATCATGTCTCTCTAGTTGCATAAAAACTTTATGAGACTTTCATCGAGAAGTTTATGAAATTTCCTTAAATTTTTATGACGTTCATGGAGTATGAATCGGTTTTTATGGGGTGGTTAAAGTTATTTCGAGTGCTGGAACGATAATTAAAATCGTATTTTTATGTCCATTGTCCAGAACATTTTTATTCATGGAATTTCCATTGTCAGTGTTTCAAAAAAAAAAATTTACCGAACCCATCAGCATTTTTTCACGCAAAATTATTGTCAATTACTTGTTAATAACTATGTAAAATTCAATGATTTAATGATTAATCTAATCCGAGAAAATTATTCTTCACCCCTGCATCGTAATTCCTATCGCACAATTATTCCAAAAATTTCGCGATTATATTGATTAACAAATTTAACTCGATGACTGAAAAAGGTAAAATGAATAGCAGTAATAAGTGAAACCCTCTAGTAACCCCTAATTATGTCCAATTACATTATTCCGAGCGATCCAGCAAATGGCAAAGAAATCCGAAAGAAATGAGGTGCATTAGTAACTTATTCAACCGCCTTTATTCCCCAGAAATCCAGCGAGATCATCGGTAGTTACGCGCTGGAATTTCCAGGCCGTTAATTACCGGATATCATGCAGCATTGGAAGGCGAAAGATATCCTTTACCCTGGACCTTACCCTTGGAAAAATCAAAAGCACAGGAGCATGTAATGCCATCGGAACGTGTGGATTCCACTGCTAGGGATTGGAGAAGACACTCGCTCGTTAATTACACTGAGGGCTCAGTGCTCATTGCCCTCAACCATCCCGCAAATTATGGTATTGAGCTACCGAGTCATTAATCCAACACCCCGAGAAGCGGGAATATTCCGAGACCCCGGGAAATATGAAACTCAGATCAATGTTTAAGATTCTCCTCCTTCTCAAGGCATTTTGCCATCTACAACAATTTCTAACGCTCCAATAATAATTTTAAATAATTTTTCCCTTTGTCAACTATTTGAGTAGTAAATCTCATTTTTCAGGGTAATATATTTGTCTTTTCTCATTCTCATTAATCTCATTTAACAAAAAAAAGTGTTTATCAAATCGAATAATTAGAATTAAATGGCAGATTTAATGAGTTAAAATTAATTTATCGAAGGAGAAGTACCCGAAAAACAATTTATCCCCTTTTTTAGTCATTGATATATTTACTCAGTGAAAATTCATATAAAATAGTGAGAAAACATAAAAAAATAGAAAAAAAATGAATTACTGTCTCGTTTTAAGGATTTTGAAAAATCTTCAATACAAATACAAACGGTTGGAAAAATAATAATTCAGTCAGATCAATGTTCATCGCCGGAATCTCCGCGGATCATAGTGAACACGAAAAACCAGTTCTTGGCGGAATTGGAGAGGCTGTTGGTCGTGTGAGAGGACGAAGAGACGGAACAATGGAGGGAAGAAGCCTGGGAAGGCCACTAATTCCACAATATTCCAATGCCCCCCCGGTTTCTGAGGATTTTTTCGGTATTCGTGTCAATGAACTTGTCGAATAGACGGGCACTGAATAATGCAGCGAATGTGTCCCGCGGTTGGATTCACTTTTCCCATCTCGAGGCTCGAGTTGGAATTCTGCCAAATGTGCTAATGCACGTGGGATGCCGCTTTTTTTTAGGCTTGCTTGAAATTTTGGCTGAATTTCCCGGAAAAATACCTTCAACATGACTTAAACGGAACAAGTCCGCTGAATTCATAATTCTCTCCAAAAACCACAATTACTTTCAACTTTAATTGAAAACCCATTTGACATCAGCAAAGTTAATTAATTCCAAAACATGCATCTGTCATTATTCTTTAATAACTAATTACTATTTATGAAATATTTATGAAATACTAATTACAGATGTGAACTAATTACATTATTTCAATTATTTTCAATAATTGACATTATTTAATTATTTTTTAGTTTCATTTTTGATTTTATAAATTTCTTGTAATCGGTCTTTTTTCCATCACTTTGAACAGAAGATGCTTCTCTCGATTAATAACATGTTTTCAGTCGTTTCAAATTTTTTTTTCTTGAAAAATACACCTAATTTTCTTGTCGATAATAGATTTCCAACCAAAAACAAGTTCATCCTTCCTCATCATTATCCAACGAAGGCCACTTCAAACTCCCATCACGCGACTTCCTCACCACCACCCCAACAATTTATCAATCCAAACAAATTAAAACTTGGCATGCAATCCATCGAAGCCGGAAATCCTAATAGAAACGCCTCGAAAACTCCATCAAACTCCTCTCCAATTCTTCAACTCGAAGTATGTAACCAAAGTAGTTCCCCAATTGCCAGGAATTCCCATTCACACCACTTTCCTCGTCCTCATTTTCAATCCCTATGCGCCCGTACGAGAATAAATTAATGAAACACCTAATTTTTTTTCTAAGAAATTTTATTGAATTTTTACTCTGTAGGAATTACCTGTGAATTTTATTGGAATTCTATTACGCAAATTTTCAGGTGATTTTATTAAGAGATAACTATTCCATCATACAACTTACTAATGTTATAAAATCAAGCCATTCCTAATTTTTCAATAACCAGATGCCTGACAAATAAATTGAAATAATTTTTATATAAGTGATAAAAGATTTAAAGATTTTAAACGTAAAACTTGCCGCGAAGTGGTATATATAGGATACCTGGACTTTTTGCGAGGCGAGTTTTTAGCAAATATCTCGAAATGGAAGGAAAATATCGAGATTTCAATAAATACCTTGTTGGGTAAGCTACTCAGATAATACCGTATTGAGGGAAAGGGTACAAAGATAAGGTTGAAAAAAAAGTAACACGCAATTTAATTAAAACCTCATTGATGTACTTTATTCGGTTCAAATCGTGTGAACTTGTCTATGGTATAAAGATCTGATTTTAACTTGATTAATGGTCTATCATTTGTTGAATAACTAATTTCCAGAATAATTGTTGATTAACTCAAAAATTGACCGGAAATAACCGTTGAAAGTTTATCTAGTCATAATTAAAAATACGTCTTTACTTGTTGAGATCTCGATCCTAGCTCTATCCGGAATTTTCTAGATAAAGTACTCCGAAATTCGAATGACCTCGAGGTCACCCGAACTCTGTCTTATGAGCTTTCATATTTTTGTAGCTTGCATATTTTTCTTTACAAGATCCTTATGCAAAAAATTCGCTATATTCCTCCGAGACATTCGCTAAAAACTAATATTGAAAAAAATGCGCGTATTCTAGTTTATCACTTCGCTATTGAAATGTTTTCCAATGTGTCATCAAAGCTTACTTGAAGCAGTAGAGCGAAGATGACCCACTGGTAGTACTTGTGCTGCTTGACCAGGGGATGATGATCGTGGACATGAACATCTGTCTTGCTGTTTGTAACCCCAGGATATGGTACAGCTCGACCAATGGTCACGTTGAAAGCATTGATCATGCTGTACGTTGTGTGCAACCAGCAGAAGGTCTCCAGAACGGCCTTGTCCACAGCACCAGAGCTCTCGCAATGAATTGGTGATCCTGATATGCTTTTGCATGCCAGGGTGAGACATCCAGCGAGCAGAATAGCCACTGTTGCACGATAGTGCAGACGGAATATGAAGGTATCCTCTGAAGCCCTCTGGACCTTGAACAGAGACCTCAGGGAGCCGAAGATATCGATCATCTTCAGCATTATTGGCATGCTCGGGGTATCCCACACCTGTCGACTCTACCACGCGGATCTGCACCGGGTCATTTTGCTTTCCCCATCACAATATCACTTCCAAACACTTCAATTAATTATTTCAAAAATCACTTCAACTGTTCTCGTTGGTCTTCATCATACACTCACTGCATTCACTTTTGTTGGAATATTTATTTAAAAAATTCCACGGCATCATAAGAAACTGAAAATTTCCGGGTGAAATTCGTTGATTTATTTCTTTTTCACCACACATTCACCGTTTTCACAAACTTCCAGACGATGTAGGAATTGGCAGTCCTGATTACTTCTCATTCACCCCTGGAGATAATTTTTTATCAGATTTCAAAGAAAAATAGTAAGAGAGCAAGGGAAATCGCTAACGTTCTTGCGAGAAACAGGAAATTCCCCAGGGAAATTCCTTGATGTAATTGTTTTTGAATTTTTCAGTCAGAGAAAATTGCAAATTGGAAAAATGTCTGAGGGTAATAAATTAAATTGACAGATAAAAATAATTTGGGAGAGTTGTCAATGAAAATTGTATCGAAATTCGGTGCGTTTTGAAGAGTACATTATTTTTGGCGGTTCGAGGGAAGGTGTGAGGAAGTATGAGAACACGGGTGAGGGTGAGACACGTGGAGCACAGAGCCAGGCTGTCACAAGACTGACTGGACTTGAGAGGCATCCCTTGGCCTCGAATAACCAGGGGCTTGTGCACATAACGCATATTATTCGTGAGTTTTGAGTATTAGGGATGAGTCGTCATAAAGAAAAGGGGTGGGAATACCCTCGTGGTCTAGAGCAAAGTGGAAGGGGGAGGTTTTTTTGGAAGTTTTTAGACTTCTTCGTCCTATACTTCTAATCATTCAACTTTTTATTTTTGAAATCATCATTGCGAAATTGATTATTCCTCAATTCTATAGCGAAATCGTAAACCAGGATAAGGGCATTTTTTCGAAACCAGTTTTTTAATCAATATCTCGGAATTGAAGGGACATAGCAGATTTTTTATAGAAACATTTTTTATAGAAAAGGATTAGAGCTATAAAAATAGTATTTATGAAAAAATGGTTATCTTTCTTTAATTCCGAGATATTGGCTAACGACTGGAATCGAAAAAATGCACTGAATTATAGATTGGAAAAATCCATAATTTTCAATAACCGGCATTTTGTAATTACTAATCGATTTAATCTCCGATTTTATAAATATTTTTCAACGGGTGCCAAAAAAAAGTTCATTCAATTCCGAGCAAAAGCCGAAAAACAGAAAAATTTTTAAAAACGATTTTAATAACTAATAAAAATGATTTTCTAATAAAAAAAATCACTTAAAAGGAACGAAAGCGAGGTTTACATTTAATTCAAAATGAACGAGTAAAAAACCAATAAAATAGACGATATAAAAAAATAAATATTAAAAAATTATGCTGTGGTGAAATGTACGTTGAAACGTGAAATAAAAATAGGAAATGGATTATCCGCTCCAAGTAACTTGTCACTATCTAGATTGGCTATTGTCCCATCTTGTCACGACAAAACAAGCATAGATTTCCCCGAAAAACCTCACGCACGCGAAATGCCCGGGGGTAGGCATTAAAGAGGAAAACACCAGAATGAATGGCATCCGGGTCATTGTCAACCTATAGTTAGAGTCACGCGTCAACGCGAAGAGGTCTTGAGCACTGCGATATTCTGTGGGAGACCTTATTACGACCTCGACCGATTAAAGTCTCCCCTTTTTGCCCTCTTCCTCCTTCCCACAACCTCCTTTTGAGCCCTCGAGCATCAAATCTCTGGGATTCGATTCCAATTCGTATACTTTTCCATTTCGCTATTCTCGGAGGCGTTACTAACGCTAATTATGTCACATCATTATTTATCACGGGACTAATCGTCAACTTCATCAGAATCCAACCTAAATCACCCTGGATGGCATTATTTCTCAATTAATCTCCTGAATTCAGTAGTAATGAATGCGGGCAAGTTATGAATCATCCGATTAAATACTTCTGGTGAAAGGAGAGTGATAATTTTTACCCTGCTGTCGCCATTATATTCTAATTTGTTATTCCCCTGGGCAAAAGTCTTGGAAAGATTCTGCGGAGGATTTCTCGGAAGAGATTTTTTATGACATTTTCGAGAGAAATTTATAGTTCTTATTTTAGTTTGCAAAATTTAGATCTTCTTTGATCCTTAGGTGGATCTTTATTTTTTATCAGATTTAAACCTGTGGTCTGACCCACATTTCAAAATTTCCCTTAAAATACATACTTTTCATTTTTACAAAGAATTATTCCGACCATTTTGAGCAAAATTTGGATTTTCAGTTTTGAGATTACTTTTGACATCTTTGGACAGACTATCCCGTATTTCCAAAACAATTTTAACTCTCAATTTTTTTGTCTTCGTTTTTTAATCTTAAAAAAATGCTTCCGAAAAATCATTTTGAGTCTTCTGGTGGCACACTAAGATCCTCTACACAATCTTTTGAAGATTCTCCAGAAAATTTGAGATCTCAAAAATTCCGAAATTTTTCAACGCGAAATTTTTCCAATTCTATTATTCTTTAATTTTTTCATTGAACAAAATAGTCATGACCCTCGTACTCTATCTCTAAGTAATACGCTTAGGGTTTCCTTCTTGGCAATGAACTAGATCTAAGACACTGCGGTAAGTAGCATGAGTAACAATAGTATCTTTCAACTCAACACCCACACCAGACACAAAACCAGAGTGTCTTCAAACGAACTAGTCCATCGATTTCAGATAGCAAATATTCGCCTTGAACCCCCCCTGCATCCGCCATCCCTTACCGGTTTTGTCAATGGAACTTTTGACCGTCTTATCGGGCCCCATGTTGCCCTTTTGCCCCGGAATTCCTCGGATTTTCAGTTGATACGGAGAATTGCTGCGTCGAAAGACACATGGGCACTCCCGGTGTGCTCAAGTTCGATGCAACTAGGCCACAACGTCATGTACACACTTGGTTAAATATTCCATCCATGTTCGCACCATTCGCTGTTTTTACTTTGCGCTTTTGTAATCTTTCTTCGGGTTTCCACAAAAAATAATTCACGGCAGAAAAAAAGTTTACCAAAATTACCATAAGAAAATAGCGTAAATTCTTACCGGAAATGTAATATTTCGGTTAAATTCAAAAACAATATAAAACCATAGAAAATTGCGATTTTAGAATGATAAGGATTTATGATTTCCTTTTGGGAAGATGTGAAAAAGTGGATGTAATAGCATGATTTTATTTATTAGTAATAAAGAATTACTCAATTGTAATTTATCCCGTCAGAAAAATAGATTTTTCCAAAAGTAATGCATAAATTCATCTCCTGAAATATTGAATTTCCATATCTCATGTTGAAAACGTCCCAGCAAACTCGGAGTGTTTTCATTGAATACCAGTGAATCATTTTATCAGAATTTTCCGGATTTTATTCAAAATCCATTACGAGTTGTATACCCAAGTGAACTGAAGTGCCTCTTCTACGATATACAATTTTCCCGCGACCTTCGGTGTTGAAAATAAAGCTCTCAATGAACGTTACACTTTTATTCAACATTGGCAGAATAAACTGCACGTTAATATTCTAAATTTACCGAAGCGTCGAGTAAAATTTCATCGTTTTCAATTAAAAAACTGCGTATTGTGTACACGAGGAAGTGCCCATCGTAGAATCTACAGTGCGTTATAAATGAACATCCAACATACCGTAATATTATGCAAGCAAAAAATATTATTCTTCGTTTAAGACTTCGGAAACCCTACGGTGGCTAGCGACCGGAGGAGTTCACTCTCTCTCAAAGTTCAATATTACTCCGTGTAACTTTGTGGCTGCGAGTGATTGCACTAATTTCGCCGTTTAATTTAAACAATGTGGAACTATAAATCTCCGGACTTCAAGCACTTCGCCAAGTCAAACGATACTACCGCGTTGATATCCAGTTAAACAATCTAATGAAGGGATCGCTTGTCTATCAATCCATACAACTTCAACATTAGCTTTGCAATGTTTCATAACATGTCGAACATGGCGAGATCCATTGCAAATCGGCGAATTACCCACATCAATCAACACAGCGTAAGAAAACAATTTTCACATCCATTCACTCCTTCCTCTCGTTTCCAATCTTTTTTATTGTCTTACCAAATCGATAATTTTTTGTTTACATTAATTCACCGCCAAACAGTTAAAAATTTAACACATTTTTTTTTCAAATTTTTTATACTTGAAATCGCGAATATTATTTTCCTTCAGTCGAGCAGAGTAAATCCCAACGACATTCTCATATTAAATACAAATTCCCAGACTTCAAAACCAGACTCAACTCATTTCGAAATTCAGGTCCATTGATTATTCAATAAAAAACATTAAATCCTAAACAAATAACTTCGAAAAATCCCCAATTGGTCGCAAAAATCGTATAATTTCATTAATACATATGTAAAATAAAGAAAGAATGAAAAAAATTGTTGTCCAGAGAACAATACTAATATTTCCTCTTCCTGAATCTTCGACGGTATCCCGTATTTTCCCAGCGAATTCCCTCCCATCGTGATAAGAAACCCCACGAGAGAAAAAATACTCCACTTCCCCATGAAAACAACGAGAAAAACCAAAACCAAAAATTACCTGAAGAAATAGCATGAAGCACACCCACTGATAGTATCGGTACTCCTTCCTCTCGCTCTCCGGATACAATTTGGAATTAGCAACACCTGGAAATGGCACCTCGGAGCCCTCCTTCTTCTTGTACGCCGATGTTATCGTGTAAGTGCTGTGAATCCAGCAGTAAGTATTCAAAACATCCTCAGGCAAATCCTTGCTGTGAATGCAATCAATCGGATTGCCAACGTACTGTCTCGTCGTGACAATGAGTGAAAAAGCAATGAGTAAAATAACCGTCAGACTGTAGTGGAGTCTGAAGACAGCAGTGTCAATGTGAATGTGTGAGATCTTTATCAGGCTCTTCAGGCCGCGGAATATGTCCAACATTTTTTTATGAAAATTACCACGACGTGATAACTCATTCACTCGATAGTCCTGAGAGATGTAATTATCACTGACTCAGTCATTTGGCTCTCAGACTTGGGTTTTGTTGATTTTTTTTTTAACAGAATGTTGACCGAAACGTTCATCTGAAATCCTGAAAGTCGTTTGAATTTTTTACGAGTCCCCTAGAATGTGTAATTCACCTGTCATAAATAATTCACTGACTCATCGCGTGATCGTCACTGCATCCAACAAAAATCGTCCTGAATTTATCCGCTCGATTCAAGTTCATTTTGCTAATTGATTTAAGTCAATTTTGCACTCAATTTCAGACAATTTACTTGCTTGATTGAAGTCGATTTTTGTACTTGATTTATTAAAAGAGAATCGATTTGAATGCAGTGAAAAGTGAACTTAAACCCCCTGAAACAGGGAGAAGCCCGGCGTGAGTCAAGTTGAGTCCACGACTTGATTCAAGTAATTTCTTCTGTTCAATTGAAATCAATCCCTCCTCCCACATCTAATTACAAAATAAACCATTTTTTAATTGACATTATACCAGGAAATGCCGAAATCCAGTATTTTAGAATCCAAGTCAAACTTGAATCAACTCGAAAATCACCAAGAACCCCTTTACAGTCAGCTATACGAAGATTTTCTACGAAGAATTTTTCCTGTGACTTTACCCCGATATTTTCCGTATCCCATCAATTCCTCTGCATCACCCCAAGGCCAGGAGCATTGCATTGCTCCCCTGATGTATTTTCCTGATGTATTATTGTTGCCAGCTTGTGCAGTTGCTGCAGTCCTGAGCATCTCAATCGGTCACCCTGTAGCTTCCTGAAATCCCCGATGCACTGTAACACTCAACCCGGGGATAATGCCATCCCGTCGTGACCTTCTACCCCTTGTCACCGTCACTCCGACGTTCAACGTCACACCCCCGTTTTCCCTCATTCGTGACGCGCAGAGGAGCCACCGAATCCAATCCACCTGTTGCTCACCACGAGTCATCCAACTCCGATACCAGATCCTTTCCTCACTCCAACCCAGTCTCTACTTTCTTCCCCCTATTTCAATTCGAGTATTCCACAATCAATTAAACAAAATTAATAACGGAGTGGAAATCATTATAGCTCGAGTTGCTGCTGTATTTATTGGACAAAGCTCCAAGACAAACAAATCATTGGAGATGGCGCGTTGGGAGGGAAACAAACTCACGGACTGGGATAAAAGTATAGCCATTGGGGTGGGATAATGATGCTAACAAGGCACTAGTTGCTGATATTTTTTTGGATGGTTTTTTGGATGTGCGTGCCATTCTATTTTAACGTCAATGCACATCGTTGAGCGCGGACTTCACTCTCTCCTCAGCTGTGCCGGCCGACGCACTGGGTAAAATACGTGCACGAGAGCACGACAATATACAGAAATAGAGCGGATAGACTCGTTCTTCTTCTTCATCATCACTTTTCATTCCTTTCTCGATCACTCGTGCATTTTTTATCAACTGCTGAAGGGGGGTGAGGAGAGGGAGGAGAGGGGAGGAATGGTTTTTCCCGTGAATACCGCGGTGTTTTTTATCCCGAGCCTCTGCCAACCTGTCGCAAACTCAGGGATTTTTCCCGCGTGTCGAATTTTTCGTGTGGGCGGCTCTGGATCATCGAACGTTAGTCACGAATTCGGGGAGAGAAGTCATCTCTTGGCACATGTTGAGGAGAAGGTGGGGGACGTGATTTTTTGTCTTCTTGGGTGGGATTTTGGCGAGGGTATAGGTGGTAGAGTAGTGTAGTGAATTGATTGTCGCGGGGGGTGGTGGGGTAGAGATGCACTGGAAGATTTATGATCAATTGCACTTTATTGTCGAATCATTCATCCGCGCACTATCACAACCCGGACGCCACACGCCGGCCTTACGAGACTCACTAGTCGCGGGTCTCCACGCTTCTCGGGTGGAAAGGCTCGCCGTTGAGGAGTTTTCAGTGTTGGGCTCCAGGAATAGAAACACGAAGACCGCGCGCGACTTCGGTTGGATGGCAACGCCAACCGCCGACGGAGAATCATTTCGGGAGGGTGCCGTTGACTCACCGAGTCATTCGCCGTGTACAATAATTTGACTATTAATTGGTTTTTTTTATGGCCGGGAATATATTGGAGGCGGTAGAGAGAATTTCGACTCGTTTGAATTTTCAGTCATCAGAATGGAATTTCGAAAACGTAACAACGAAATAAATATCAGATTTAAACATCGATCTGAATCAAGTTGGATGATTTGACTCTGGCTTGGGAGATACATGCCATCTCATGCTGATCTGATTCAAGTCAACTTTTCCATTTGATCCAATTCGATTATTCAACTTTATTCAAGTTAATTTTCTGACTCGATTTGACTTAATTATTCGACTCGATTGAAGTTAATTGTTTGGCTTGACCCAATTAATTTCACGATTAAAATACCGTTCGGCATTTTGATTCAAGTCAATTAATCAAAATGACTCAACCCGACTTCCACCAGTCACGTGTCTTGTCGTGAATCTTGCGATGAGCATTGTCCGACCCGTGAAAATCGACTAGTGTCATTACTTTTGTCACGTGGGGCTCTGAGAAATTGGAGATTATGGACCCCACCCTCTTCCAATTACCGTAACGACTACCTTGATAGTTTCCCTCATTACTCGTCCAGTCGACATATGCAGTAATAAATAAGAATGATCAATCACTTTTCTGACGGATGATGCGGAGTCCACGTGATGAACTCTTGCGCACTCGCTCATTCGATCGTTTTTCCTGTCCAATTTTATTTTAATGGTGGCCATGATGAACCCTCCAGGGTCAGACGCCTGTACTGCACGTGGGTATGTTGCGGGTAATGAAAAACAGAACGGTACATGAGGGCTCAACCTCTCGAGGAATTATCTACTAGTCGATAACCAATTCAGACGCGCTGCCAACGTCTAACAACGTACGTACTCTTTCTACTTTCGATTTACGGGCGATTCTGTGAAGATTTGCTGCGCCTCAATGCATTAATAGAGCTTTAACCAGCGCATATGTAATAAACATATTTGTGCGCACGTGCGCTGCTAAATTCGTGCTTACGAGTGAGCACGCGTTATCGTTGGTTGGTCGTTGCTCTCGGATAATTTATAACTTGATATTCATCAGCTTTCAAAATAGACGTCAGTCAGTCTCGATTAGGGGTATGTGATAGCACCAGTACTCAGCCAAAATGCTTTTCTATGAGGGATTATGAGGATTGACGGGACACCAGCTGCTGATGAAGGGAATAATTTCATTAGTGTCCAGACGAGGTGATGAGGCCCGGAAGCAAATTATACTGTAAATTATCTTCAGAGGAATTCAATCCTTCGGAATTATTCGCTGTTGGGCTGGTCATCGAAAAAATTATCCCGTAGAAGAATTCGCATTTTGATCATTTTTATCTTCAATTTCTCTAATTTTTATGAAAAAATATGTAGAGTATGCATTTTATTTTTATATATATTATTTTCCATTAAAATTTTACAAATTGAATTTCCAAATTTTAGGACAAGGTAAATATGAATGAATATTTTAATTGAATGACTCCCAGGGAGTTTGTAATTGAGAATTGAAAATAATAGGAAAAATCTTCTGTTAGTAATTGTCGATTTAATTATATCTCAGAGGAGTAAAAGAAATTTAATGGGTTTGTTTGGTCTCCAGTGATGTTCAAATTTTTCTCAGTGTTTGGGATTGAAGTGGAGGTACGACGGATTGAAAAAATAAATGAAACGTTTGTCTCTCCTCCTTTCTCGCACCTCAATTTCTCGATTTTTTTTATCTCTGTTAGTTTTTATATGCGCGTTTTTTAGGTCGATTCTTTTATCAGCCCTCCCCGTCTAGTGCGGCCTCACATTCCTTTTTTAAACAGCGAGTTACGGACCCCCGATGATCTCTGTTTATCCAGCTTTTGACGTTAGATCTGTGTACGGGGGTTTCTCGGTTTTGCTTTCTCGCGGGGTCTCATCTTTTGACACCCCATGGAAATAAATACGTATTTATAAATAGGTGAGAAATCAACACGTGAATCTAAGTCATTTACTATTTCCTCACCGAAATTCTATTAATTTTTCTATTTAAACTTTTTCCATTAAAAAGTCCAACTGCTCATTTTCCGAGGGGTTATTCATTGGTGAAATCGCGGTGTCACTCTCAATTCAAAAAATTCTCATATGAAATCAGTCCTGAAATCATGCAATCGGGAGAAAAATCTCCAAAGTCAATTGCTGTCACTTTGAAATCACATGAAATCATCAATCATTGTGTCATATTCGACTTTCTCATATTTATATTTTGAGAACATAAAAAACTGTCTAAACATGCATTACATTCACCTAAATTTGTGGGATTTATGACAGATTTAAAACTGAATTAAGACCCGTAAGACTGAGATATCAACTGTAATCGTTACTGGAAATTCACGAAATTTCTCACAGTGTAGGAGTTAAATTTAACGACTTGACAGGGTTCCGAATTTTTCTGGTGAATCTTCCAGAGACAAACAAAGGGCAATCTGTCTCCTTGAAAACCACTGGAATATGGTACAAGCTCGATTTTATTTTTGGAAAAATGAATAGCAGGATTTGTGCGGGTATTCGTTTACTTTGGAAAGGATGAGATTACATTAGACTTTGTCGTCATCTATCCTCATATCCTGTCGTCTAAAAAGCACTCCCTCGGGGAAATATGGGGATCACACGGGTTGTGCATGCAATTTTCCCTCTGTTACATCCGTAAACTGCAGGAGAAATGGAGAATATGCTATTTTTTCCTTTTATCTCGTCATTTGTTCCCGTAAAAAGCCCCTAGCATTATTTCTCAGTTAATTGAGAATAGTTCTTCCAGTAATAAAAACACAATGCAAATAACAATAATACAATAAGAAATTAAATTCTTCGATAATTCATTAAAGTTGGCACTTTCCTGACGATAAAAATAAAAATTAAGTGACTCAAGTCAATTTATCTGATGGATGTGTTGTACCGTAGAATTCAAAACACCATCTCTCAACTTGAGAAATTCACTTTGGACTAAAATTCCCCCGAGAGGCCATGGTCTCAATATGTCGTGAATTCCCATTCCAATCCGATGAAAAATTATTCACCTCAACGTAAATAAATAATTTACCAATATCCCCTCGAATTTTTACTGAATTCAAGAAAACAATTTATCATCACATTTTTCATTCTTCAGAAAAGATTCAATATTGAGATAAATTTAATATCTTGACAATTTTGAATCAAATACATTTTTATTGAATCAGAGAAGAGTTGTATTTAATTCAAATAAACAGAAAGATATTCATGATATTCCAATAGAGATTCATCAGTAATTAGAGAAAACGTGGCCTTATTATTGAGATCTCAATTAATTAATCTATCTCCTCAAATAATCATGATGTGATTAGAATGAATAGTTCAGGGGATGTAATTATTCGAATTATCTGCTTTGACAACGGACAACTCAAGACGATAATGTTAATAATCCCAGACTGGCATAATTGAGTACAAGATGACAGATTTACTCCAGTGATAAATCATCACAGACGAAATTTCGAATATTTACACGGGAAAATGGGATCAGAATAACAGCGCCTTCTGTATTCGAATAAATCCGCTACAAAGGGCCAATTCGTCACGTCTCAAGTTGTTATGACTCGTCTATTTCACAACGAGAAAATGGGGACATTGGCCATTTAGAAAATTATTGCTGAACCCATATTGCGTTTCTGTTCCGTTGAATTTACATTCTCCGGCACCAGTGAAACAGCCCAAGCGTTAATAAATGCCCGTCCAACGGTTTCATCCCCATTTTTTTTTCTCAGGACGATCCCATGAGAATTGTTGAATACCATTTGAATTCTATCTTTTTGCGGCGACGACTTTACTTCCGGACCATAAATTCACGTTTTCTTAGAAAATGACCTAATGACGCGAACAGTATGAACACATCATACAGAAAATTCACGAGCTATAGGATATAAAGTAGAAAATAACTCAAATGAATGAGAAATTCAAATAGAGCTTCGAATCATCCTAAATCCAGATTGTCACGAATGTCTCATATTAACGATTCCGATAGACAAGAATTAATTAACTTTAATGCATTTGATATAATTTTTATACATAAATAGATTCAGAGTGGAAAAATTCTTGAGATTTTATTAACACTTAATCCTTTAAGTGATTCAAAATTTTTCGACTCGACTTAAAATGAGGAAATGACTCAAGCTCAAAATTCCAAGAAGCGAATTAAAATGTTTAAATATCAATAATTAGTTTGAGAGTTAACACATGAAATTAATTTATCATATATGGCTCGAGAAGACCGTGAAGTTGATACTTTCACGACTCAAATTGGAATTCTGAGAAGTTGCAAGTGAAGTTTATGCTCTCGCGAACTCTTTTAAGTCACCAAAACTAATCTGCGACTCAAATTACGATCTTCAAAAGTCTCAAGTGAAGCCTTTGAAATCTTAAAATAAGATGTCTTTGTGAAAGTATCCGAAGAAATCCTGTCGGAGTGCCAAGTAGAGATGAAGATGACAAAGATTCAGCAATAAATAACGAAATTATTAAAACAAATATAGTTTTTTTTACGATACTAATTAGCGGCGATCAAGCTCGAGTGGCTTGAGTAACTGGTTATTCCTCGAGTGATGATAAATCATATTCTATCCTGAGCATTTGGTGTATAAATAATATAGAATCTCAGGGGCCGACGCGTCGGCTCAAGAGTACTAGTACTTTCGAGTGGGTAGACTGTTAATTGTTACGCACGTTTTCCTCCACTTCCTCATCGTTGATCCTCTTACCGGTACGGTCGATTTGATCTCTTCTTCAGAGTTCAATGCACGTTCGATAGAGCGCGCCTGCTGTTTACTACAACCCTAAAAGATCCTCTCGAATCGATCCCAATCGATTTTTTCCCACAGTGATCTCTAGTGAGACATACGCTTTTAGCTCCAAGCAATCATTTATTTTTTTATTTTAATATTTGTTGACATTCTTGAATGTCTTCGTTATTGAGGTACATGAAAAATCAATCTTTCAACAATAACGAGCATTTTTTTATAAATAATGGGTCATTACAGAATCGAGAACAGGGAGACTGTAATTAAATCGCTTTTAGAGCTCGTTTTCTATAAATAAAAATTGCAAGAGATAATGGTAAGAACTTAATAGTTTAGTAGATATATAGTGGGGATTTAGTTGCGCATAAAGACGCTGTTTTTAGAAATAAAAAAAAGCTATTAAAATGCGCGCACACGGAAATGATAAATTGTAATTGAGCAATAATTGTGACTTTTTTCTTATTTCAATGTAAATAAGGTAAATATGGCTTAGTAAAATGGATATTTAAAGTATCTTTTACTTTTTGATCACTTTTTAAAATTTTATTTCGATATCATATGATTGTTCATTTGAAAATCCCGTTTGTTCAGTAAATGGCACTTACGCAGTGTCGAGAATTCAAAGTATTGTTATTAAATAATGTGAATGTCCATAATTTTGTAAATTCAATTAGCTCATCAACTGCGTAACTATTTAATCGTGTGGCTGAACCCATTATCCCGAATGAAATAAACAATGATTTACCTGGAAAATGAGGGTGAAAGCGACCCACTGATAATATTTAACCTGTTTCACCGGGGCATCGCTTCGTCGATTATTCTGTTGAACTTCCTGTCGTGGTTTATTGAACACATAAACCGAGGGCGCAACTCCGGGAAATGCGACATTGACCCCAGCAACGCCGAGCATCGCTCCAGTGACAAAATAAGTACTATGTATCCAGCAGTATGTGTTAAATGCCTCCACAGGTATGTCCCTGGTCCATCGCAATACCAGAACGATCAAAACAAAAATTATATGTTGGTAAAAAAAAAATGCAGGCTCTCTCGGTTTTACGTAAAAAATCCTCCACAAATAAAGTAATCTTTGCGGAATTTGTCAAACTGAATTCCTCAATGAATTTCCCTCTGCGCAGAATTGTTAGAGCGCTCACAAATTCCTCTACCATTTTTTCCTTATTTTGTTGATAAAAAAAATATTGCATCCTCTGAGTACTGCGTTTGAAATTTATATAGAATTTACACCGATATTTTGGTAATAATGACTCTTTTAAATATCAATTCCAGATGAATATTGTACATGTTACATTTTTTTATACACATGAATATTATGGATTACAAACAGAAATTTTTACAAAATGTGAAAATATATTAATCGTCCAAGTCAATTCCCCAAAAAATTCTCTTCCCCGCAGAATTTTTATGAAACACTCAAATTTGGCTGTTTAGTTGGTTTATTTTCTTAGGTTTTTCGTTATAGGTACGATTATTTCTCGATGGGTATTACCTCGTATGGACACAGTCTATCGGATTTCCCACGGCTTGTTTGGCAGATACGATTATGGAGAAGGTCAGCATTAATGCAGCTGTGAGGACGTGCAGCCTCAGCAGTATTCCCTCGCTCTTTATCCTGCTCACCTGAATCACCAGAATTGTACCTGGATAAGTCGCCCACGTTGCCGGACTAATCCCAGGATGGAAATGGTAATGGGGTCGCTTTTTTTCATGTGGTGTTAAGAGATAAGTCAACGTTTTCAGAGTGACTCATTTGGTGAAGGGACATGTGTAAATCTAGAGTTGTTAGTTTTAGGTTTTTAGGAACAAAATATGATTAAAGAATTCATCTCTATACTTCAATTTCAATTTATGCCTTTAAAATAGTGAACACTGGCGCAATGTAAAAATTTCTTTGCTATTCTCCAGAAAAATGTAAACACGAATTAGATTCAATAAATCACAATGATCGTTAACTGCCTTCACATAATCGTCATTTACACCGATTCTAAACTTTAAATGAGAAATCAAAATTTTTGAATTTTCAAGATAAATGAGAAATTTGGAATTGAACTGAAACTCGTATAATTGAAAATTCAGACAATTGATGTTTAAATTTTTCCGTGCTCACAACACTAAAGAACCATTAAAAAAAACTCCTGAAAAAACGGTGGCTAAAAGGAAAACTCACATGAAACAAAAAATAAAGTGCCCCGATGACATCCATGACTTCGAAGTCGAGAGTCTCACGTTTGCCAATGCAAAGGGTGGTGGTATTGCCAGAGCTACCCCCAGGACAGTTCATCCCTGGCGATGGGCCACACGTGATATCCCCCGCCTGTTCTACTCAGGATGGACCCGGCCGGACCGCTGGTACCTCATCTTCCCCGTCATCGCGACCTGGTGGATTTTTTTCCCCACTTTACCACAACACCGAAAATTTTCCTACCCCAAACACATTTGAATGAATCCTCGAGGCTCCAACTGTTCACTGAATATATTTTGGCGCGATTATCCACGCGTGGCTCTCGTGCGAGATAGCTCCCTCGAAACTGAAACATAGTGCCTGACCTACTGCGCCTGGTGCCTATTTCGTCTGCCAAGAATCATCCAAGGACCGATTCTCCATTCGTTTATTCCGTAGAGACAAATGTTATTTTTATATTTTATAACACCGTGTCCCCTCAAGATTCTTTTAATACCCTGACACTCGCCCGTTCCCACGCTAAATTAGAGCTTTCGCTATTTCTTCTTTATTCATCAGAGCAGCCACTACTGTTCTTGTACTATTGTGCTTTTACTGTGAAAATATAGCTCATCTTGGCAGACTGGTTAAACTATGATTTGTATTTTACTCTTCTGCGCACGTCAACCAACACGCACGACAGTCTCACATTAGGCGGCTGCATGTCTAGGCGCCACCCACCCTATCATTGTGTTTTTTATTTTAAAAAACGGTTTAGGGGTATTTATATACTTCAGGCTCATATGCAAGAGAGATAGGGGGATTTTATGAGTTTTGACACATGGAAGATCGGAGAACAACAAGAATACCCAGCGAGAATTGGCAATGTGTTGACAATTTTCTAATAAAGTTTCCTCGTTTCCCTTTGGAATGTCAGGAAAATTATTATACCTCCACGAAATTTTTAATTAATTTTATGGATGAATATTATAAAGAAGTCTTCAATTTTTGTTAAAAAATATTTTTTGAAACATGTACGAGAAAATTTGTATAGATTTTTTATAGATTTTTATATAAACGAAAAAAATGTGGCATTGACGGAGGTTTTATATATTTTTGAAATTATACGAAAATGGAAAAAAATTTGAAATAAAAAAATGGAGTGGACCTGAAGCGTTGCAGCCCTCGTAAAAATGTCAATGAATTTATTTTTGGAACATCTAATTAACGAAAGCCATGAGGATAAACAATAAAGAAGTGATGGAATGGGGTCAAGTTACAGGAATTTGTCCACCCACAGTCCAACAATAATAAAGTTCGCTCGAATGCGCCAAAGCTCGTAACAACGTGAATTGTCAAAGGTATGAAAATACAAAAGCCAGAATGTTCACCATAGCCAAGACACCAAAATAATGTTTACCAAAGCCAGTAAATCACGCTTCACACGCGTCACAGTACTCGAGGGTACGTACTTTATCTTTTTGGCATGACGACTTTGCCTTCATTCATTTATCTTAAGCACTTTTTCACCTTAATTCCACCTGAATCATCCGTCATCATCAATTTTCATCCTCAAATAGGCCGCTCAATCAATTCCTCAAACTCATTTCATAGTTCCAGAAAAAGCTACTGGATCCTCGGATTCTATGCTAATGAAAATTAATGAGCAAGGAAAGAGTTTCGAGAACTCACCGAGTTTTTCCTCGAATCGAAAAATCCGGTTTTCTCTGAAATTTTAAGTCTAATGGACATTTCATTGAAGTTCGATATTTTCGACATAAAGAAATAGAAAATTCCTAAAAATTGTCAAATTTTACAAGTCTAGAATTTTGGTCATTTATTAATAAAAGTTTTTAATTAAATTCATTGCAATTCCATTAAAACTTTAACATGATAAAAATAAAAAATGAAAGTTAGCTTATTTAAAAGATAATTACCATCGAGAATTCTCAGAACGAACGGATTTTCCAGTTTATGAAAAATCCGTTTACCATCTGATAATTGGCGAATGCGGTATTGGGAAGGCCACAAAAGCATTCGCACCATCACATTATAAAATTAAAGAGAAGGGAATCGCTGTACGCAAGGACGTAGCAAAACTCCATGAATTCCAATCTGATTTCACCATTTAATTCGTTCTCCACAGTATTGAAACATTACATTATATTCTTTACTATATCACTCTCGGTGTTTCTGAATTACCTATTTGAAGCATTAAATTACAGCTTCTGTGGACCCAAAGGTTTAAAAAATTATGTTTAATTATCTTATCAACAGTATCCATCGGTTTATAATAAAATTCGTAAACAATCTCACAACCTTTTGATTGTCTTCGTCCGTAGAAATTTGTTGGAACAATGGCAGTGGCTGTTGTGCGGTGTAAAATGTTTCATGTGCCATTCGATACCATTGGCTCCTAATCCTAATGAAATATAAACGCATCGTCCTATCACAATGGGCAGTTAAAAATCCGGGTATTTAATATGTTAAGGATGTTCAATCATTTCTTTAATTTCTTAAATTAATAAGCAAATTCGTCTTTTTCATCAGATCTTAGGGGATTAGGAATAGATTTGCAATATTCATTTCAAATGATGAACGTCATTTTCTCGATTATTTTCTTATCCATATAGGCCCGACCAGTGTATTTCTCATTTTTTTTAAAGTGATTTATAAAAAATAAGTTGCGATTTTGTGTAAACATCCTTAATACGATCATCGCACAGAATTTTCGACAGTTACTATCAGATTTAATGTAGAATATCATTTTTGTTTGTCACTGCTTTCTCATGATTATTCCATTTCACTGAAAATCTCACGTTATCAGTCTGTCTCCACCCGGAAGAGCAGAGACTTGGGTAAATGTTAATAAAGTTCCGAAGGAATGGCTTAATTATTCCCATAATAAATTCAACTTTTCATAAATATCTTTTAATCTAAAAGGGGTAGAGAATTTTAGATCTCAGACATTTAGTAAAAACTCCTCCGCTTTCGATAAAAGGGAGAATTACACCCAGAAAAATGCTTTTACAACTTTTTTTAAACACCAGTGAATCCCATAAATTTTTCATTTGCGGAGAAAATCTTCAGAGACCTTTTTTATTTTTCTCGATTAAATTCATAATTTTCGAGATAAATCAATAATTTAAAAAAAAATTCAATTCAATTTATCTCACTTCTCACTTTGTTAATTCTGAATGAAGTAAATAGCGTTAAATATAACCATATATTTAAACAGAATTCTTCATTTTTCTGGGTGCGTTAATTAAAAATATGGAATTGAGCAGCTCGGAATGACAAAGTTACCTCGATCATAACATAAAAAAGTGATGGTCCCCCTCAATATACTATATCAAAAAGTAGAAATCGGAGAATCGAGGAAAATCAGGGGGAAAAAGGGAATCGATCCCATAAAAACTCGAATAATCTAGAGAATGGTCCTACGGATTGACAGGTGCCGATGTGCTACCGACTTTCTTGGTGAGTTCCTCGAGGAAATCCCTGTAGACGAGAGAATCCATGTTCGAGGAGAGAACGTAGAGGATCCACCAGTCCCCGAGGTCGATTTTCTTGGTGATGTTTCTGCAGGTGTCGATGGAGAGTCTCCTGGCCGTTGAAAGTTGAAGAAGTCTGGGTCTCACTGCTGGTGCGAAGATTATTGCAGCTCTGTAAAGCATCAGACCCACCAGGAGCATCGAGAGAATAACGAACCAGAACCAGATGAAGATGTAGGTCTTCTCGTTGACGATATTCAGGGGTAAAATACAGAGAGAATCGTGCTGCTGGATCGTCCCCGATGCTCCGTATTTATGGAATATGCATTTTGTCACTCTTGGAAAGACGTAGACCATTGGGTCCATTCTCTCCTCCTGTGGAGTGTCGGCGAATTGCAGGACTCGCCAACCATAGCTCAGGAATTCACCGTCGAAGAAACGATTCATCAGGTATAATTGGACGATTATGTTGACCAGGCACAAGGCTTCACATGCAAAGTACCGATACACGTACATGTTGTGACGCTGTGGGTGTAACAAGAGGAATCAGTTGAAGGGAATTGGATTCAATGAGGGGAATTGAGTGTAACGAGAGGGCAACGCTTTTTTCGTTGGTCTCGAGGGGTTTCTTATCTGGCGAATATTTTGCAGCTCTTTCGATAAATTACAACTTCCGCGAAAAATGCCGAGATGTTTGAATTGCGCTGAGAAAACAAAACTACTGTTGATGGGATAATACCCTGAGACTTGTGAAAATTACAAAATTTTTAAGCAAGTGTTCTCCCCGAAGATTCTAGTCTCCCCGGGTTGAGGTTTAAAAAAATCTGATTTCGTATCCAAAAATCCTAGATCCGGTCCACGAATTTTTTCATCTTCATACATTTGTTAAATATGATATACATGAAATCAGCTGTTGGTTAATGGAAAAATTTATATTTCAAAAGTCACTCTTTCCCTCTTGAAATTCTAAAAGTCCATATGACTGTTATTTTATTAATTATTAAATGCATAATTTTTCTTTAAAAACATTATAGACTCCGGGGTCGGGAACTTGAGGCCTTTGTCGGGGCTACCAGCTCAGAGACCGTGGAGTTATGTGATGCTGAGCAACGGAAACTGGAGGAGAATGATTTCATAAAACAATGAGCGATGAGATATCTTTTTGCAATTATGGTAATGAGATTCGGTGGGGAATCGTGACGAGATGTGTAACTAGGGATTGTTTTTCTGACTTGATTACCTTGATGTGAGTCACTAGGTAGTCCATCAGGACGCCCTTCTTCGTCGATATCGACTCCTGACTCTCCAGGCCATGGTTTAGTCCCATCACCAGAGTGCTTGCTAGTCCCCCTTCCCAGATGTTCCACAACCACTGGGGCAGATAGCAGAACATTGCCTGGAATTTCACAATTTTCCATTCTTATTCCATTTCTCACTCAATTTTTTTCTAATTTTTTGTTTTACGGTGAATTTTTCCTATTTATGATATTTTTTGGTTTTAGGGGGCCGTTACCCAATTCCATGTCATGGATTTCATATCTTTGGTCTCTCATTCCTTCACGACAAAAACTCATCAAGACCACTACCGTAACGCGGTTGAATCCTCGATAGGCATGATCACAAGTTTTTTTTTTTAATTCATGCAATCAATTTTTTTATGCGGGTTTAATGATTGGCTTCACTTGTCGCGGAAAAGTGGTGATCAGCATGCGAGATAAAATAACTACTGCAATTGCACTCCACCTCAGACATTTCGATCACTTTTAATCGGTGAGGTGTTATTAAACATCTGGGGATTGAATTACCTGGAAAAAGAGGACGAAGCAGACCCACTGATAGTAAGTGTAGTATTTTCGCGCCTCATCGTCACCGAAATCATTCGCCACCCCGGGATGCGCCACCTCTGAACCGACCTGCCAAAAAAAAGAACATTATTACACTATTAAAAAATTATTCCTGACATTCCCAGAAAAAATTTCATTTTAGGTCATTTTTCAAGTTCACTCTAAATTTAAAATCCGTAAGTCAGATAATTTTTTTTCCTAAACTTCTGTGTGTTTTAGTAATGCTCTGGAAGAAATCCAATGAAAATTCAGTTTCCATGGATTTTTTCATAAAAATCTGAAATTTTTACAGAATTTCCTGTCGCAATTCGATTTGATGTCGCGAAATTAAATTCGGGAAAATCCACTTGCGTGTACTCCCAATAACCACATAAGTGAAAATACTCTAAGGTTAATAAAATGAATCAATAGTATAATATAAATAATAATTTCTCAAATTATTAACGATATTTTCTGAGGAGCACTGAAACTCCGTTTTATTTTTAAGGAAAAAATACAACTTTTGGGGAATATTTTAAATGAGATATTAAGATTTTTAATTTTAAGAGGTTTTTTCTCTGTTTGTTTGAAACATATTGAAGAGGTGATCAAAAATTTAGTGTATGAAACCATCATAATGTGGGTGATGACGTTCGTCTCGTGGGGATCGCTCTCGGGTCTAATGGAGTTTGCAAGTTTAATGTCTGAGATTCCCAAAATTTGATAGAGAAGTTCATGGGAAATCTGCGGGCATGACATTCATGAAGCTGAAGGAGTTACTTTATCGTCGAAGATGTGAGGATATGTCTGAAGTATCCAATTATTCCACCTCTTTACGTGAGAAACGAGGAGACCCTGGTATTCGATTAACGTCCGGAACACGTAAGACTTAATTGTCAACCTTTGTTCTTCAAGTTTATGACGAGTCATGGAAAGGATTTTGATGATTAATTCGAGGGATCCTAGAAATGAATCGACTTCCAGTGAAAAAAGGTGGAACGTCAACGAGAGGAATTGAATCCAATAGGTCAGTCCTTGACGGAGTAATAGACCCACTTATGCTCTGGTCAGGTTTTCAAGAGATATCTCGAAATCCAAGAGAGGGAGCGAAATTTTTCTCATAACCTTTTTCATAGAACGAATCGAGTCGCACAAAAAAAGTTATTACAAAAATTCTACTACCTCTCATACATTCTGAGATATTTCTCGATAACTCCCCGTGTAAATCGATTTGTTCTTTAGTCGAGTATTGGAGAAATATCTCGAGATCTAACAAAGATAACGAAATTTCTCTTAAGACCCTTTGTACTGCATAAATCGAGAGCTGCAAAAAATGTGTTTACGGGAATTTCCTATCTGTAGTAGATTCTGAGATATTTCCGAAAAACTTTGCCTATTAACTGAGTCGGCTTGACTAGGGTAAAAGCTTCTTCTATTTTCAACCGTAAACCGCGTCCGCCAATTGCAAACTTGAAGACAATTCCGTTCCGGAAATTGTCAAAATATTTACAGAAATAGAAGCATAAAGAGAGAAGGGTGCGGGGACGAGTTTTATGGGCACATTAGTTGAGAAATTCTTCGGGGTTACGATCGTTTCTTCGTCGATGGAAACCGAATGGTACCACAAATATAATGTTGATGCTACTTTACATTTAAATTGGAAAGCTTTTATTGCAGGCATTGTCTTTGTGATGCAATTTCCACAGACTTTGTTGCAATTTTAGCACTACCACACGAAAAATAGGCTAGAATTCTTATTAGTCATTGCAGACTAGTGGCTAATCAATTCATAATGGCTCATTAAATATTCCGATTTAGTAAATCATATCAATTTTCAAATCGAGTAATGAGTCTCATTAAATATCAATTAGATTTTTATGATATTTAATGAAGAAGTTAGCAGATAGCTTCCTCTCCAGCGTTTTTAAATTTAATTTAATGATTTTTTGGTGCGGAGAAAAATTTTTGGATATTCCCGAAAATTCGAGGACAATCCTGATGTTTCAGGAGCAGAGAGGATTTTTACATGAAAATTATGAATTTGTAAGAGCAAAATCCCTGAAACTTCAGTTGACCAGTCACTCGTTTGATATTTCAAGCTCAAAACCTGAAAAATTCAGAGAAAATAATGTATATATAATTTTTTTTCAAAAAAGCACATACTGAAAACTCCTATATCACCGAAAACCCAGTGCAATTCAGTACTAAATATCAATATTCAACCAAAATGTCAAACGGTTGAGAAATTTTCCCTGTTATCCTTAAAGTCTATAAATTTGCAGTAAAAACTAGAAATTCGGCGGTAATTCCGCGCGTAGAGCGCGTTTTAATCTACAATAAATAAAAAAAAAAACAGTAAATCACCTGTCTATTAAAAGCATCCGGCATAGTGAAGGTGGACGTGATCCAACAGTACGTATTGATGACATGATTCGGCAATCCCTGTACTATACAGGATATAGGATTACCCACATACTGAGTAGCGGTGATAACAACGGAGCACGTGAGCAACAATACCGTGGTAAATGTATTGTGCATGCGAAATACCATGGAATCGGTCTTGATGTCCTGCCATTTGAGGTACTGGCTGAGTCCACCGAGTAGTTTATACATGATTCAATTTATCAATTCCCCGAGAATACGAAAGTCTCTGGCTCCCCGCTCTTTTCATCCGTCACGCTGGAACGAGACCGGACACGAGAAAACGTACGCTAAAACCGGCTGTACCAGCTGTCCACGCACCTCCCTCCCCGCCCCTCTTCAACAAAATCCCCCCTTTCCCCCGTTGATATGACCCGCTGGTATAGTTGACAATGTTCAATGGCTAGTTCAGCCTGTAACAACGGGGTTATCGTTTCGAGTATGAATAACAATTCGAATTGGCCCGGTTCTCTCGTTATCAGAGTTAACACCTCGGAGGGTTCAGAGACCCCCAGGACACGCCGAAAACAACAATAGCCAATTCACCTCTGATTAGCCCGTGAAATAATCACTTGTCACCTCTTATTGATAGTCGCAGGGAATTTAATTTCGATAGAGTCTTGAGGGTTTAATGACTATCGTTTGACCCACGTTTCACGCGTTGGCGTCCTATTCACCCTCACCCAGATGCTCCACCCTTTCACAAGATTGATAATTCTCCCCTGATTATTACCCCCAGAATTGGTAGTGAATAGTGGAAATTGAATCCGGGAATAGTCACTGTTTGAATTTGAGTTGGTCGTACGTACGTACGAGTCTCTTCGTCGTCGACTGACGAGAAGTGCCAGTGGATTTGTTGGGGCGGGGGGGAAACGAGCTGCTAGGGGGTTAGGGGGATAAGAGGGGGGGAGAACACGCGGGTAGAAAGAGGGGGCCCTACTATCCCCGTCTTTCTTTCGAGGCTTCCAACCGAGGGGCAACTCTGTGCCCCAACCCAGTCCATTTTTCCCCACTCTGTCCCCCTTCTTTTCAATGGTGCGGGATAACACTGTCTCGGTTACTCGTACGGTTTACTACAGTGCTCTCCTTTTTTTTTTTTTTTTTCACCGCTCCTCGGGGGAATTCTGCTGTGGCTTCTCGGCTCACAACTACGTTTCGAGGAGTTTTAGCTGGAGGAGTCTACTCCACCGTTACTGCCACAGGAATTGCCACCGTTACACCCCCCCACCTTCGTCGAGGGCCGATAATTAGGCCTGGGGGGAGGTCCTTCCACCATTTTTTTTTACAGGACACTTTTTTTTTTCATTTCCTGCAACAGTTTTTCGTGACTTTCAGTTTTCGAAATATAAAAAAACATGAACAATATCACTCTTTTGTTTAACTGGAACAAATTTTAAATAAATTCCATATAGAAGGAGAGATTCGAAAATTGAGTTATCGTAAATATGTTAAAACTTTATTTTTCATTGGGATCGCAGTTACTTTGTGATCGCTTTATTATTTTTTTAGCAAAAAATATCTTCGGATCTCCGAAGGATAAACAAATGTTTGTAATAAAAATTTGTTGTACATATCAATTAAACCTGAAAAAGATTTCAGAATCGAAAACTCCAAATTTTCTATTACTCCGAGAAAATCCCTTATATTCCAATAATCCCTCTAATTTATCCTCAAATTTTTAATTCAAAAACTCGAATTTTTAACGATAATTGAAAAAGTCAATGGAAATAAAATTCTCATTTACTGAAATAATTAAATTATTATTATAAGATTATTTTTAAGAGTATCAATTTGGAACTGAAAATTTTCCTGAGGGCCAGTTCTTGGGCGAGAGCGTTTATAATTACAGAAGAGAAGCGAAGAGAGATGGAGATGGAGGCGATAGCCAAGGGCTTCTCTTGGGTAGAGTGCATTCCTCTTCTGAAAGAAACACCGAGGTAACGAGTGGCACTGGCAATGTACCCGAGGTCGATTCCTCCAAGCTCGTGGCAACCTCGACCAGAGGCTTTCCCTTCGATTTTAGTGCTGGGGCTCTCGTTTTTGGGAGATCATTTATTGAACCCCAACCCTGCGAGGTTGAGGCTTGAGGGAAATCGAGGGGAAAAGATGATGAAATAGTCGGCCAAATGAACACGAATTTCCAAGTCATTTTAAAAATTGCTAATTCAATAAATTAATTACAATTTAAATATAAGCTTTTCAATTCTGTCTCGAAGTATAAAGCAACCGAATAAATTTAAAATACAAAATTCATCTTCAATATATAGACAATGAAAATGTTTAGGAAATCGAAAGAAGATGAAATAATTGAGCAAAGTACATACACGGCGAATTGTATGTGATTGCTAAAAAAAACGTCTCTATAAAATCGAAACGTCTTGCCATCGTTCATCCATCTTCATAGCGATGATAATCTAGAAATATGGAGACATGAATGCGATGGAAGTGTGTCGTTACGCCATTGAAGAAAAAAATTATCGCTCACGTTGCATCAGGACGAGGACGCATGAGCCACGCGGTTGGAATAAAGTGCAGGCTTATGGTCAATTCGGCGAAGTCTGAGTAACTGGAAAATGGTGGATGTACTTTTGATATTTACGGTAAGTTTTTGCACGGTGTGTTTTTTTTCTCCACGCCTATGTGCATGGGAAGCTACAGAAATGGCATGTGGATCTCCTCATGGGCATGACCACGCGACCGGAAAGGGGTGAGACGCAGAGAGAACTCCATTCATGGTGATTTCGGTGGGGTACAGTGGCGTACTGTTAAAAAAAAATTCCTCATACATTTTTTAGGAATTTTCAGGGAGAGCCAAACTTCACTCGCCACCTGTTAAAGTGAAATACTTTGAATTCACCATTTTTTATCGATTTATCTCGGAAATTAGCGATGCAAAAGAAAAACTGTAATAAATTTTTGTACAATTCATTCAATTTTTGACAAAAAAGGCCTTTTGATATTTTTGATGAAAATGAATTTTCGTTCTTCGAAATTAAAATAAAAAATCTAAAAAATACTGGAGCCACCGAATTTGATAGAAATTTAATTGGATTTGATGGTGGCTTTCAAATGCGGCAGGTAATCTTGCAAAAAGTCTATTTATTATTTATAGTCCTAATGATCTGATTGAAAGTACGAGACCTGACGCGAACGCAATCATTGTAAACATCACCTCCAGTATCTTTTTTCTTCGGAATTGCATCAGATGTTTGACATCTGGGACACAGACCATCGGCAAAAAGTGCATGAAGTGACGTATATGGGGTAAAAAATATGGGAAAGCAGAGGAAACGAAAAATAAAAGGAGAACAGGAGGGCGTGGAGCAAAGGCCAGACACGTGTCGCGATTCCACTTTATGCGAGTCTGGTACACTGAAAAAAAAAACTATACAACAATTAATTGTTTAACTAATAAAACAGATTAACAAATTATAAAAATAATTATTTGATTCATCTGTTGTCTTGTAATTTCATTAATTAATAATGCGATTAAATCCAGCACGAATCCAGATTAACAGATAAATTAATCGAAAGTATAAATGTAAGTATAATAATTAAAAAATTATCAAGACGTTTTTTTAATTGATTGATTATAAAGGATCCATTAGTTATATTCCTCCAATAATCTGTTTGGCAGACTTGTTTTCATGTAAGGCAATTGTTTGTTCTCGAAAATAGTTATTATATGCCGTCAATACTGGGGAGTTTTTTAAATTAGCAATTCGACTGAATGATATTCATCGAGCGGAGACATTGATCCAGCGAATTCCATCATTCGCGGTCGTGGGCGTCCGCTTACTTCATTGAATTACAATGACCGCGGGCGAGGTTTATTCCATTAATACCAATTATTTTTCATTTCAGATGGACGAAAGCCCTAGGAGTATGTACAAATTTCCCCGGCTTGCTAGATTTAGACTAGTATATTCTTAATTTAGTCAAGATATATATCAGGGAAAAAGAAAAATATTGTCAGCGGTTAATATGACATATCCTCTGGTCTGTGAAAAACGGAGATCGATATCTTCCAGATTTTACAAATATTTCTGTTTTCATTTCCGAGTATTTTTATTTTTTCATAGTTTTTCCATCAAAACTGAAATTAAAATGAGCAACTTTTAATGACAACATTCTTGCATTTTCAATTATTCCATAAAAATTGATAGGGATCGTAAAATTCCGACAAATAAATTTTTTAATTTCCAATTAATCACACCAACAATTCCTAGTCTCATTAAAAATTCAATAAATTTCATGAATTCTCCCGAAAGACTAATTTTAGTGAATTTTTTTTTATTCCACGGATTCTTGTTATTCGTTGATTTTCTAGTCAGTGAAAGGTTCTCACGAAATAATCTGTAATGGAATTCGATTGAACCAGACAATTCCCAATTACGAGTGACTTAATTAATGGAGAATATCATACGTAATTTTCTCGTGAGATAGATAAGGATTAATATTGCTCGTGTAATAATAAACTCCCTTATTCCCATGATCACAGCTAACAGCCTGATAGTCCCTTGGATCAGCGAATGAGTACAGACTCCATCTATGCAACAAGAGACTGCAATTACTGTAATTAGGCCGCGACGACAAAGACGAACGTTGTTGAGCATGACGCAGTTTCAATCACCGAGGGAGTCAGAATAAAAAACTATTCAATTTCTTCCTTCCAGGGCCTCCATTTTTTCTTCACTCCCTTTCTCCTTTTATCAAGCTGTGTGGGTTCAAGGTTACTTTCAAGCATTAGAAAAGGAATCTCCAACCTAGAGATTCGCCATTTTACCTTTCAAAATTCATGTGATCAACCGATTAAAACAAGCATTTGCTTTTTACGAACAGTTTCTCAGTTTAAATGGATAGTGGATCTGATTTAATATTCAGGCACTTTGGTTGTTGACTCGGAAATATTTTGATTGTAAACTAGAAAAATAACATACTGTATTTTAAAATTCATGAATCTCCCGCGTCAGATAGAAATATTCAAATATCGACAGTGAAGATTTTTTAAAATCTCAGCATGAAGCTTTTCAAATCTAGATTGAGAATTATTTTTAAAGCTCATAATATCGGGAACTTCAATAAATGCGAAATTTTATGTAAAAATTTTCCAAGACCTCAAATGTCATTTTCAATTTTTAAGTTCAGGATTTTCAGTTTCAACTTGACACCTTCAAAATTATTAAATAAAACCTTTCCAAACTTTTAATTTGACGCACTCAAAGCCCAAATGAAGAATATTAAATCCCTCACATTACGACCTTCCCAATCATAAAATAACATTCCATATCTCGCTATAAATAAATCAATTCCGACTGCCTCAAATGAGAAAATTGATATTTTATCTCACCGAATTCCCCTCCTCCATTCCCCTATCATCTCTAAAAACTCTCTAAAGTTTCAACATAGACCTAAACTCTAAACACTGAAAGCCTCCAAACGGAATCTAAAAACACTTTTAAAAAATCTCCCAAAATTGTTTAAATAACCTCTCAAATCGGTATTAAATCCCGAGAACTTACCATCATCTCCCCTAAACGGTTGAAGAATTGGCACAGAAAAATCATCATCACAACGATAAATAATTTTCTTATTGAGGTGATAGCCTTGGGATGATGAACGCGCCAGCATCTCGGAGATGATTGTGGAACAACAGTTGACGTTTATAACAACAAGAATATGTTTATCATAGATAATGAATTGCCTGAAGCTTCGAATTCGCAAGAGATTGGGCGGAGGATGATCGATAATTCAGAATGATTTGTTGTTGATTGAAGGAGGTTCAATACGAGGGGATCAAGGTAGAATGGAGTCGAGTGAAGGGGTCAAAATCTTTTCTGTCAGCCGATCCCACGCAAATGTTGGATGGGTTGAGAGTCACTGTGGGTCAATGGTGTCAATTATGACGAATGTATGGTGGATTCTATCATCCTCTTTCATTCTACCCGTCCCTTTCTTTATCTCGCGCATTGTCAGCCCCATATGCGGCTAATGTAAATCGGAACCCTCGCTCGAGTGGGAGAATAAACTCATATGACCGGATTCCTTGAATAATTTAATCTACGGGTGTGCTTACCACCCAGTGAAAAGCAACTTGCCGATTCAACTTGCGATGGGGCACCTGTGACACGTGATGCAAAAACCAAATAGGGTTAACGAGTGTAATACTGAGGAGGACGTGAGAAACACACCGCTTTTAACGAGCAATACATTGCTTTCGGCCCCGCACAACTCACATGTCACATTTACATTTTTTATCTCTAAAACTCCGAAAAATTTTATCCACAGCGAGAAAAAAAAAACGAATTTTTTGCACGTCGTGGGTGACAACGCGGAAAAATCTAGTTCACGGCGAGAAAAGTCCAATAAAAACTACAACAAAAAAAACCACGTAAAATTTACGAAGTGTTACGTAAAAATTCCTCGTACATATAAGGATTCGTGAAACCTCTGTTACATTTTACAGGCTCCAGAAAAATTACGTAACTGTTTCGTACTTTTTTAATGACAGACCCGAAAATTTACTGAATGTTTTTATTTTTCTTTTATATCTCTATAGAAATTCACCGAGAAATATTCTCGTTTGCGAATTAGGTGGAATATTCCGTAATTTTCTCTGAATAATTTTTCTGTGTTGAATGGACTAGATTTATCATTTTATTTAATTTCAAACTGTTGCCTAGACTTTTATCAACGACATCATCATTACCATCCTAATTAGTTGCCAAGTAATTACGTATTTCAATCAAAAATACAAAAGCGAAAATCCATTTATTTAATCTCCAAGAACAAATTTGAAATTTAGAATTCGAGAAAATTCCATTTTCTTTACGACTGCCGTAAAACGGTTTTTTTTCCAAATATCTTCGATATCTTTCTAAAAAATTATCCCTTCGGCTTTTTCATTGGCAGTAATGTTTGAATAGTGAGGCATTTTAGATAATTCTCACCATAATGGCCCGTCATAAATATTCCTTTCCTCCATCTCACGGGAATGTCCCATGGGTTTTGGAGTCCCTCGGACCAACAGGTGATGGGATTTTTCCCGTTGGAAAACGTGAAACTCTAGGTCTCGAAAGTCACGTAGCCCTAGAGAACAATCAGGGTAGGGCACCTGAAATTCCTGGACCAGAATAGCTCCCCAAGTTGAGGCATTTCCAGGCGTACGTGAGAGATACCACGAAGTTCTCCCTTTGAGGGGAAAGTCAGACCCTTTAGGAGCTCTGTGTGGCCACATGGCTCCCAGATTTTCCGAAGGGTTTTCCAGACGATATTTGACACGCAAGCCGGGCCATTTGTCTTCTGTCATTCAGTGCGGAGAGAATCCATCGTAGAAAAGAGTTCACTTCCTGCATGCAAAATTTTCTTCACGTCCACAAAAATATTTATCACAAATAAATATGTCTAATCATTTCAATAAAAATAATTTTGTTACATAAAAACAAGATATCGTTCCTCTGAAAAAGTTCTTTAATCCACGAAAAAATTTATTTAATTTGAATAAATTGTTTATTCAAATGACGTAAACCATTTATTTATGTCAAATAATAAAATTTCTGAGAATGACAAAAATGTTTTCTTCGTATTAGAGTATTTATTTGGGTTAATTAAACATTCATAATGAACGAGAAGAAAACATGTGTAGGCCTTCGAAAATCGAAGCTCATTAACCGAAAGTCTGTTCATGTCTGATTCTTAGTGTAGATGGATGAATTAATAATCAAATTCTCCACAAAATGATGAAAACACTTCAGCCGCATTGTCCACCGATAACGGCTATTTCCCTTAATTACCCTCACTCGCAATGTCACGATAATTCATTACGCATTCACGCGAAGACGATTACAATACAACAGTAGTATAATTTCAACTCGCTCCAGTGATTTTGCTTCAACGTAAAATGAGAGAGAATGCGAACGAGGACATTATTAAACTGGGTGCTCTGTACAATCATCACTGGAGGCGTTGGCGCTCGTTAATCACTTCGGGTGCAGTAGACGAGCTCATTGATGAAAATACCGAGACAGCGTGTCATTTTTTCGTGAAAATTATTCACTATTACGAAGAGGTATAAAGCGAAAGCCCCCGTAAAAATGCCTCAATTTCATAATAAACTCTCCAAATGACTTTTCTCTCAAAGTTATACACTGCAAGAAAAGTTTAGTAAATTAAAAAAAAAATGTTTTGAAGCTAACGATTCAAATTGAAGAATAGTACTCAACGCATATGTGATTGCGAGTACTAAATATTTAATTGAATAAATAGATAGACTTAACAAAATTGTTAATTAACTTTCATTAACAGAATTTCAGAGTTTAGTCCCTTTATCGGAAAAATAGTACATTTTTCTTGACGAACAACAGTTTTCTCATTTTTTTAACTCGCCTTATTTATCAGTTACATGATTATAGAACACGACAGAACATGAGAGGACGAGTCGTGCCGAATGCCGGGTTTATGAGCTTCTGGATGAAATACATCTGTTTAATCTCGTGCATGTTGAGTAATTGAGACGACTGTGTTATGATTATCGTAGGGATCGTGTGGCAAACGGAGGATTATTTGAATAATCATTTAACCAGCAGCACATACTTTTTTCTCATTATAATAATCAGCCATCCACCCAAAGCGTTCATTTCTTACACCGGAGTTAATCAATTTTATTAATTGCTTTTTTTTGAAGGAATCAGAAACTTTGACTAGTGCCGACCAAAAATGTTTAAAAAACTCCAAAATAATTCTTTCCACTTTTTATTCTGTTGTGATATTGGTTCTGTTATGGATGAAGACAAATACCTCGCACTAGCAGAAAAACAAATAGTGAGAGCTACTCTTTTTATATGAGTGTCACACGCAATATGTGCCCCATTGTCACGCAGCTATGTACACAATGGGCCACAATCCCCTCGTTTCAACCAACTATTTTAACAATTCTAAAGTGTCTTCGAGGGGGCTTGAAGACAACGCCGTTGACTCCACTTAAGTCATGCACGTGGATTTTTTTCTCGTCCAGAACACTTTAACCCAATAAAATCGCTCAAACCGAGCATCATCTAACTCACTCGAAAGAAATTTCCTTTCATTTGATTTCAAATTTTGTTTCAAAATTTTCTTTCGACTCTTTATATCGATATATATATCGATACTATATATTTCTAAGCAAACAGTTAATTCAATGGAAAAACATAAATTCGGAACATCAACGCACAAATTTTCCAGCAGGAATTTCAATTTCGGTGGGCGTGGATTGGATAATTGAACAATACATGTTTCTATAAATATTTATTCAATATGTTTTCATATGCATGTGACATCCGGAGACGTTTCTCATCCGTGAGCTTTTCTCTCCCATACGACAAGTACACATTCTTTCAATCGTACAAAATTCATCGAATTGACAAATGGACACTTCAACCATTTTTTAATTCAATACGTCATTCAATTGTCGATGTACACTCATCTCCTGTGACTCAAATTCAGCTAAATTGATGGGTTCATTAGCGAAATGGCAAAAGGAAATACATCGAATCTTCGAGGTCTATTAAATATCGATTAATCTGACAAACAAATAATTTTAATAAAAATCCATGAGCCCAAAATAAAATAAATAAATGACTTGGCAATTAAGTAAATGCATTCCATTTTACCCCTCCCCCAAAGGGGTAAATCCATTAAATCCATTAATCAAAGGATAACGTCATTCCTGATGCAATTTGCCCGTGAAGTGCAGTTTGCTCGTATTACATAAAATTTTTCTGTCGCTCATATTTTATTCATATCACTCACTCGAATATAATTTATCACAGGTACAGACCGGTAGAATTACCCGATATTCGTCGCACAATGCTAGAAGCATTCAGCTTCCATATCTAATGTTACAAACCCCAGATACCCTTTCACCACCCAACAATTTTTCTAAACAATCATTGTTACCACTATCATGTCGAACCGGATAGTGACGTGTACCATGAATCCAACGGCCATGGATATCTATCAGAGAAACGGGTGTCCTTACGCAAGGCAGAATCATCGTTTGTCCCACTCATAGTCCCTCTGTACTCACTATTCAACTTCCTGTTACGTATCATTCAGAGGTATTTAGACAATGAGTAAAGCCGCTTCAACGAGTCATGGAGACTTATCAATTGCGCTTGTAAAAAAGATTGACGCTCCGAAAGGTCGATCGATCGATTCGAGTTCGATGATCGGAATTATCTCAACGCAGTCCCCAGACCAGTTTGTAGTAAAATTTACTGCATTTTTTTTTGTAAATAAATACTGTTAAATAGTTTCGTTTGTCAATGATTTAAAATTTATTATCATTCAAAGAAGTTTTCACCTTGATATTACATTTCTTCCGTAAAAATTCCAAAAAAATATTGTAATTTCTATTGCATGTCAGGGTGACTCTTCATAGTTAATACTTCAGAATCAATTTCACTATTGAGTTTTCTCTGTATATAATATTGAAAATTTTCCAGTGAAACTTCTAGTGAGAGTCTACAAAATTTCTCATGGATGAATTTCGAAGGAATTTCCTTGTTTGAAATGTACGATGTGAGAAAAAAATGCATGGAAAAGTTAAAAAAATTCTCAAAATACTATCGTTGAAAAAATACAAAGAAAAAATCTCGAGTTTATGCCCGAGAATTCCTATAAAAAAAAATTAAATCCTACATATTCTTTCTCTCTTAGACCGAATTTGAGACTGAATTTGAAACTCGCAATTGCCAAAAAAGACCTAGAGACAAAATATACTATATTATACGATATATACGATATTTTTTTGAATTCAGTCCGTAGCGGCTGACGAACTGATTGACAAGAAAATGTTTTTCCGCGGAAAATTGCGCCAGGAGGTTTTCGCAATCTATAATTCTTAAATAAAATAGAAAAAAGGCAGAAGGGCAAACTTTCTTGAACCGATTTTCTTACAATCGGAGCAATATAAAACGATTTTCGAGTATCGGTATGCGCGTTTGGAACTAAAGCGTAACAAATCAACTAGTTCCTTACACAAGCTTCAGAGTAATTTCCCGAAATCTAAGAAAGTCAGCGAAATTCTTTTGAAGGAACATACTTTGGTCCTCGAGGGTTCAGCTCGGAGAATCCTCGAGTGAACTGTGATTGATGGCCGCTAGATCGTTTTCAAGGGCTCCTCCTCGTCGAGCGTAGGAAGACGCTGTTTCAAGCGACTCGCCCTCCAATCCTCCATATCGTGGGCCAACTGCTCCAGCAACTCCTTGAACACATAGTTGTCCAGGTTCTTGGCGATGTAGTACAGAAACAGCCAGTCCCCGAAGTGGTACTCGTGAGTCACTCGGAGGACATCCCAGGGGTTGTATTTACCCGGACAGGCCATTGAAAATATTAAGCGGTTGAAGCCGATACTCCTGAGGGAATGTTCGTGATTAGATATGGGGGAATGGTAAAAAGGTTTTGTAAGTTAAAGAAAATGTTCTGGGAAATCATCTTTTCCTTTTGAATAAAGAAAATAATATTATTAAAATCGATTTTTCTTCTGTATCGAGTGGTTGCGGACAAGAGACAATTTCTCCAAAATTATTTATAAATGTTGGGGGAGGAAATCGAGTTTTCTGTGCAAGTAAATTTTTTAATTAACTGTTAATTTCACAGAGGATCTGAAAATGGCGCAAACCCTATAAAGGGAGAAAAAACTTCGCATTGTGTGAAAATACGGAAATAAATTTTTCCATAACCGTAATCTCCCCTGCAAGCCGCAAATAATTCTCAATCTTGAAAGACCTCTCCCCACAAACTCGTCACCTCGAGCAGAGGCCATACAGCCAATAAACCAGTTTTCCCGAACAATCAACACTTTATGACACACAATAATGCTCACAGCCTCGCTGTAGATGTACATATAGAAAAAAATATTTCTCGCTCTCAGGAAAAATACCTTAATCTTCGAAGCGATATTTGTCCTTTAAGACAAGTGAGGGTTCAATTAAAGTAAGTGATAATGCCTAAAATTAAAATGTGAATAATTTGAGTCACCTGAGAACTTCATTTGCTCTGGGCAAACCTTTCCTATTTTTTTCGTACAATCCAATTAATTATAATTAACTAATGACAAGTTTTCCTGAAATTCACATACACTTTTATCAAATTGAAATGATGAATCTAGTAACAATTCGGTTCAAATACTGTACTTTTTACAATGAAAAATTGTAATTGTTAACGTATAAATGATGATTCCATGTAATTCGTAATAATTTTGCGAGATTTTTTCGTAATCGCAGTTTTTTCCCGAAAACTCGAATTTTGAAATTGAAATAAGAATTTTCTAATTGAAAAATATTGGAATATAACTTTTCACTTACCTGGCATGTAGAATCATCGTGAGAATCCTCCAGACTAGTGCGAGTCCAGTGATAACCGCAAGGATGATAAACCAGAACCACAGAAAAGTGTAGATTTTCTCATTGACAATGTTCAGGGCCATGATGCAGAGTGCATCGTGCCTCTGGATTCCTCCGGAGGGTCCGTACTTATGGAAAATGCACTTGGTGACTTTCGGGAAGACGACGTCAAGGGGTGTCATCTTCTGGTTCCAGTCGGTCTCGTCTGCCTGGGTCACGAGGTTCCCCAGGTCCATGAAAGCACCCCCCAGGAACCAATTCGTTACGTAAATCTGGCCAAGGACATTCACGAAGTTCAGGACCTCACAAAATCCTAGGTAATATGCCCAGGGTCTATTCGCGTGGAGACGATTCAAAAAGGCATTTCTTATTATCTGAATTTTCTCGTCGCGATCTGCCTTCGAAGGAATTGACTTGCCATTTCCCATGTCCAGTTTTTCATCCCTCAAGCACAGCGACGCCGTATGGAGACCTGATACCAGCACCTTCAGGCGACCACCTGACCACAGATTAATTTCAAAGTCATAATAACAAAAATTACTGAATGAATACGGAGGAATACTGTTGAAAAAAAATCGTGTTCATTGTTGTATCTATTGATCCTCGGATTTTCTCAAGACCTATCAAAGATAGAAGAAAATTTACTGAACCATTTTTGTAGATCTGGTTTTGCTCTACAAAAAACGTCCTTTGCACCTTTTTCTATCCCCACTAGATCTCGAGATATTGCGAAGGACAAGATACAGAAATCGAGATGAACATCGAACTAAATTAAACTTCATAAAAAAAATCTGTATATTTTGTCCTTCGCGATATCTCGGAATCTATCGAAGATGGAAAGATATTTATAGGAAACTTATTGTCTATCTAGGGATGCTCTATAAAAAAGGGTTAAGGGAAATTTCATCATCTCTTTTAGATTTTAAGATATTGGCTGAAAACTCCGGGTGGGATCCTGTTCAAGCGGATCGACTCTTCTCTGCTGAATTCGTGAGGATATTTTTTTCGAATGAAAAATTTACCTTCCGCACTGCGCCACAGATAATGAGGTATGTAGAAGAGGATTGCTTGAAAGAAAAGGACGAATGGAACCCATTGGTAATACGCGTGATGGACAATCTCGTCTTCTTCAGTGTGTGATCCTATGCCAGGATGCGGAATGTGCCCCAACTCCACTTCCGTCGCATTCATGTACTTCGACTAGAATTGTTAAAAAATTATGAAAGCCCAACGATTTTTCTCATTGAAATTTCTTCTAGTCCTCGATTTCCTGTTACTCAACACCTGTTCTGCACGTGACAATTTTCTTTAAAAAAATTTATACATCGATGATTTTTTAAATATTTTCTTGGATATTAATCCCGAAGCTATATCCAGGAACTTGATCGAAATATTAATTAGTGGGATTAATACTCACGACGGTGAAAGTCGATGTGAAAAAGCAGAATGTGTCAATCACGTGCCCCAGAATTCTTTCGTCATTATCTATTATGCATCTGTAATCCGTCTCACGATTAATTATGAAGTGACGAGGAAAAAAATTACGGGAAGTAAACCAAAAATTCAATCTGAAATTTTGGATACTCACTTGATGTGATCTCCAATGAATTGTCGGGACGTGACCAGCAGACAACCGATCAAGAGGATGAGGAAAGTTGCTCGATAGTGTAGTTTGAAAACTATTATTAAAAATTCAATCAAAATACATAATACATATTTGCAGTCCCATTAAAGCCGACTTAAAAAAAATATATATCAAAACCTAAAGACGTCCTTAAACAAATAGATCATCGTGCCAGGGGCTTACCCAAAACCCGAAATCCTTTGAAACCACTGGTGGTTGATACTGTTGGCGAATCTCTGAAAGCAATGAGAAGAAAAAAAAAGCCTCACCGATATTATCGATAGCAACAGAGTCCTGGTTGACCCTCAACTTGACGTGGTCCTTGAGGACGGAGAAAGTAGCAAGAACAGTGGACATCTTATTCCCCACAAGAAGTCACGGAATTCCCGAGATATCCAAGGCCGCCCACAGTAAAAAAAAATCGCGTGACACTTCAAAAAGCAGAAAGTTCTGGAGCCTTTGCGTAAGAACGATCGTCGCCTCACTGACACGTTCCGACTATTTCATAAAATCGTGGGTCTTATCTTGACAAAAAAGTGGCAACGTACCGCCTTTCAGCGAGACACGCTTACTCTTCAACTTAAATACAATTGGAGAATACGAATAGCTAGGCTTGAGATTGTTTTGAAATAACTGATACCCAACAGCGGTTTGATAACAATTGATAAACCGAGCTGAGTAAGAAAATCAGAGAGATCCAAGTGCTGCAACAATCGAAAAAAAGTCATGTAATTCAATCAGACTCCTCTCATCGTAATCTACCGTGATGCTAAAAATACGACTCCTATCTGAATCTTTTCCATTGTTCATCCCCCGGTGGGTGGCATCCGCTGGAACCGTGTTGGATGTCTTCGAGTGGTTATCACTCATTTTTCCACCTAGATGTGACGTCGACGTGGGTGGGATTAGATGATACCTCGTTATCGTTCTAGGTGAACCTTTGGAATTGTCTTCTGACAACAATATTGTTGAAGAGAATTTTTTTTTTAATACGATATTTTTCGTTTTAGCCTCCGAACGGAAGCTTTTTTTTTTCTTGCCCCTTTTTTAAATTCGCTCACAACGAAGTCAGCATGAAAATAATGTACGTTAAAACTGGAAATTCATGAAAAATGCAGTGGGAACTGTGAATCTGAATTTTAATATTCAGTGAGCATGGGTGTAATCCTAGAAAATGCAAAAAACAATTGTGAGGAAATTTTCCGAAGCGTTATACAGCACTTATTGGACATAGAATAAAGACTGCGGGGACCGCCGAAATATGAGCCGCAATATAAACTTTTCGAGAAGGCATTTCAATAAACAAATAAACTTATTGGAAAACGATATTTTCGGCTGAAAAAATGTTAAATTATCCTCAAACTTTTACATTCCCATCTTACACGATGTCTGATATTTCTCCTAACTAAAAATTCTGAGCTATTTTGTACTGAGTATTCATATTTCCATTAAAAATTCAAGAAAGTAAATGATTCATCGTCGATTAGCCCAAAGAGAAGGAATTTCGTAGAGTTCTCAGTGAATTCCGGTAACTTTGCATTAAAACGTCGGAGTTAGTGCCTTTTTGCAATTTGGCTTCACTAAAAATTTTTAGTAATGTGTTTTTAAATTTAATATTTTTCTATCAGCGTGGAAGAAGCGGGTCACAGCTGTCGGAATCAGGTGACACGTCGTTATCGGTCTAGTTCCACATACAACGAGAGAGCAGAATTTACCTGGGGTATGAAATATTGGGGGACTTATTTTTTAAAAGATACTAAGTGAGACTAATCAGTTATCGTGGCTCACCTCGCATTTGTATACTAGGGGAGATAAGAGTGATATAAGGTTTCAGTTTGATTTCTGAGAAGATTTGGGTGTGCTACACCATTCTGGGGATTATTCGGCAATTTGACAGTCCACGGGGGATTACTATAATCCAGCGGACATCTATATTTTCTATTGATTTTTTATTGAGGCGCCCGACCAATCAATCTCGTTGATAACTCTCTTGCCTAATCGATGCCGCAATCATACCGAGAAACAATTTTTTATATATCTCAAGGGAAAGTGCCATTGTTGATCAGATAATACTCTAGGTTAAGCGGAATCTCACATTTTTTTGTGATAATTGATTTATCTTGATTATTTTATTTGTGCGATTTTGATCGAGCAAATAAACAAAGGGAATTCAACATTTTTCAGCCGCACGATAATCGCAATTCTGGAGGAATGACGGGTTTCGAAGGAAAAACCCCTGGTCATATTTCTGTGAATTGCTAGGAATTCAAAATAGAGACAGAAATGTTTGTCTAGAGGATTTCTGTAACTCTTAATTCGTTCCACCAAAAAGGTCATTATGAAAATCTCAATATTTTATTCAGATTTGAAGATATATTTTCCAGGGTAAATTACAACTACTCTTTAATTATTTGAAAATACGAGGCTTTCAAATTTGGTTGAAAAAAATTTGAACTTTCGAATTCCAGACTTTTTAAATATTACTCACAATTTTCAAGGAATGTGACGGAAATTTCACCCAGAAAATCCTAACAGCGCTGGCAATAATCTTGATATCGACTTGTATTTTCACGCGTTATAAATTATTTTCATGAAAATCGAACTAAATTCTTGCTTTGAAGATAATAATTCCTGGAATTGGGAAATTCTCACCTCAAGATCGAGAATTCTGTCAATTTTTACGACAATAATTTACAATACATGAACATATTATTGGAAATATAGCTATATATCAATGTCCAAATCCGATTGATTTATTGTTTGATTTGTAGAATGATCGATAGAAAAAAAATCGATAACAACTTGGAAATCATAGGATTATGAGATAATCGTAAAAATAAATGTCACCGCAAAATTTTGGGCTTGTGATGCACATGAGATTCCCCTTCCCGGTATGTTCGTAGTACCTTCTCCACGAAAATGGTGGGCAACTCTGGAGGAGTTGCTCCATAAGAAAGAAAGTATTGGTCGCCTCGTGTTGAACATTGCTTGGTAGAGCGTAAGGACTTTGACCGGCCGTTGCCCTCATGGCTCGCTCCAACCGACGTTCTTCTTTCGAAAAGAAGTCGCGGTTCTCCAGTACTACATCCTTCTATGAACTTACCTGAGAGATCTCACGTTGGCCTCGAGTCCCCACCTTTGGAGTAGAAAAACTTCTGAGATCATGACAAATATAGTACTGCTTCAAAATAAACATAAATTTGAAAAATATTCCAATGCAACCACTTCTAATTCATCAGATCACCATTACTTACGCCTCATTTTCATCACGCCGAATAATATTATATATAAAAATTATATTATAGAAATACTCATGTACAAATCACGTTAAGAATGTATTTCAATGCGAACTGGTACATTAGGATAAGTGATAAATTTAACGAATTTTTGGCATAGAGATTTTTTATAGAAGTAGATGAGTGCTGCAAAAAAGGTATCCGCGAAAATATCGTGGTCTTCCTTCAGTTTCGAGATATTGCTTAAAAGCTGGCCTCGAAATAAATGCAGTTATCCTAGTTTACCACTTTGCCTGATTAAAAAAAAATTGACGCCGGCTGCTGAGAATCCAGAATTCCGGTGAATTCTCCATAAAGTTCGAATCTTATGCACATCCGCCCTTACGCAACCATGTTCAGTCATATCGAGACGCCAACCACAAAGGGAAAATTTCCCATAAAAAAATTAGAGAAAGCGGCCATTTGGCAACTGCTTTCTCCGCTCAAAACTTATCGGCTTTTTGAAGAATTAAAAAATGGAAAGATGTAAAAAAATGGGAAGATCATCGGTTTTCCGTCATTTGTGTGTTACGAGAAGGTTTTTTGTCTCGAATCTTCAAAGAGTCATTCATTTCTTTGAAAAAACGATTACTCGGTGCAGAAACATCTTTGAGTCAAACGGAGGCTCGTCGCAGCCTCGTTATTTTAATACCTCCATTCACCTATGCGAACTTTATTAAAAAAAAAAGGTACGAGGGAATGAAATTGTCCAGTGAGGTAGAAACGCGATCGGTCAATGGACCGAGCTGGAAATGGTCGCTCGATCGGTATTTACAGTGCACTGGAGTCTTTGTTGTCCAGCTTCACTGAGTGCACATCGATGAATTGGATGATAACTTCTTTGGCATGCAATTACTCCTCTTAGTTCCCTCAGACGTGCACCAAAATTATCCGCCGTTCTTTCATCCTTAACTCGACAACTGACGATAGTAATTAGTAATTATAGTCTCCACATTGATTCGGAATTACTGCGGCATTATTAGAAATTCTGTTGAGTCATTCACATTTATCATGTCAATTCCCCTATTCCTCCTTTTAATTTGCGGTATTGAGATTTCCCTTTATTCTTTCTTTTAAAAATACATTGTAGCGTACAGTTTATTTAAATATGACGGCTTTGTACCGTTTCAAGGCATTTCGAAATTCTGAAAAAAAAACAAAATTCATACGAAAAATAGTGGGAATTGGAAATTTAAGTTTAATTGTTCTAGGAGATTTTAGAACAATTAATTCAATTTTTAAGTTTTTCGGGGCACACAACGTACAATTAATACTTAACTTAATACTCACCCATATCCTTTTGAAAACACCTAAAAAACGATTGACCTAATAAAACAACCCGGAGATGATATAAAATTATCAAAAATCAGTGAATGCACAAAAATTAGTGATTTGGTAGTTAATTTTATTCAGTCTTTTTAACATTTCAATGTTTTCAACGAAAAATATCTCACTCTTCCAATCGAGTATAGAATTTCACATTTACGAAAAATGTTATATCTTCTCTGGTGGGTGGTTCTCAGGAATTTTTGGCTGTATTTAATTGTCCGCGGTACATTATGAAGTTGAAAAACTGCTGAACTCACACACTTGAAAAGAGGAAACCCCCTTCCACCTTAGTAATAATTCCAACGTATATACCTACCAGACACGTTGAGAGCCCCTCGCGACCTGGTCATTCAGACTTGATTGAAGGTTAATAGAGCTCCAAGCCCCATAGCCCCGATCATCCGTGAAATATCATAACGTTTTGCCATCAAGCTTGCGATTGCCCTCGCCCTGAAATTATCGTAATTGGATCCATGGAAATAAACATCAAAGCCCTTTAATTTTCAATCTTACTTAGGCACTTTATTCAAAACTTTAAATACTTTCCAAAAAAATCTTTTTTCTCCTCAGAGATATTCACTTCATCATCTGTACAATTTGTAAATTATTTTCTCATTATTAACAAATTGAAAAATATAATAGATCATCCATACGAACTGTATTTATTGTCTCGGTTTATGTTATTGCATTTTCAACTAATGCACACTACAAACGATTTATTGATAATTCCTTAATAAAACCTATCCTCGTATCTTCGTGTCCAATTCAATAATGAAAATGCTTGCATAAATATAATAAATGGAGTAAAAGTCGGTATCGTATGACAAAAGCAGTAGCCTAACCGCGGATTGGTGTTTAAAAATACATTAATCAGTAACAAATGATTAATTTACGATTGATGAAACATTAAGACTCCATTTCCAGCTCTGCTCCTTACAGTAAGATTAATTCATTATTAGAAAGAAGATGAGAAACTGTCGTCGACTATCACACAATATTCCCACCAAAGATATGCCTCACGTCTCAATCCAAACGTTTCTAATCACTAAATGCCTGAAAACAGCACGATATCATCCCCCAATTTACCATTTCAATTACTCTACCTTTTTTATCCTCTTTAATCCTCTCATTCTCAAGCAACAATTTATCTCTCTATTCCAAAAATAAGTCTTTTGATTCTTAGCTTATCACGACTCCATTGATCCATTCAAAAAAAAGAAACACTCGTGACAACATAAGGTGTGGCATCAATTCAGACTACCGACAATAGAAGACATCAGAAGACATCCAAGGAATGATTAAAAATCTCATCATCAAGGAATCATCGAACACTGGCAGTCTTACATTGAGTGTAAATTCAATTCACGTTAATTTTAATCTCAAAATTCGAATGGAATACAAATTAGTAGCGAAATGATTAAATCAAATAATTAGAGTTTACAATTTTTATTAATAATGGGGTTACCAAAAAATATCGATTTCAGAAAGAACTTTAAATGAACTTATTTGCAGTCGATTTCATTTTCAACAAAAACGGCCTGATAACATTTTCTCCTAAAATCAATAATTTTTAGATAATTAATACAGCAAAATTGTGAAAATCAGAAGCGCAGAGGTAACGGCAAGTGATGACAAGTTCGTTTTCGAAAAATATCTCTCAATTTAAAAGCGTTGAGAAAATTTTGGTCTATACCTTTTCCAAGTTTCTCATTCCATTAAAAAACAGCGCAAAAGAGATCCTGAGGAAATTTCTGTTATTTCATTTAAATTCCGAGATATTCTCCGAAAACTCGACCTGTTATTATGTACCTCTTCTCTCCTGGAGTATACTTTTCTCGTTTTATCACTTGGCTGTTGAGATAAAATACAAATCAATACGAATGATGATCTGGCACAGCTTAACACGTCGATAGCATTAAACGCTTCAACGCTTAATCAACTAATTAGATTCGCTCGTTACATAGGCGTACTTAAGGCAGCTACCGGGTACTGGTGCAACAGCTCTGACTCCCCGGTTATCAGGAATTAGAGGTGTCCAGCACCGCGGGACGGTAAATGCGACAGTAATTATAGGGGGCACGTGATGGGTACTCACCCACGAAATTGGGAGATTAAAGGATATGTTGGTTATTGCGCGACGACATGAAAACATTGGTCCCCGTTTCACTTGGAATGGACGGTTCGCGAAGATACGTGTATCTACACAATTATATGTATAATTTCATCATATATAATATATATATCTTTCTATGTCTTACGGTTCTACGTTGGAGGATATTTATCAACTACGGCAATAGCGAAACGAGACGATGATGGAGTCAGTAGCGAAATTATCAAGTGACATGAGTCATAATTATCGATTTATATCGAAAATCATAGACTTCAGGAAGAAATGCTAGAGAACTTTTTTGCAGCTGATCAAATTCCTGACTAAAAAGTTCTCTGATGTTTTCTCATTAAATGGATAGTTTTTTAGATATGTTTATAGTTATGAACGTTTTTTAATTAGACTGATTCCACTTTACTACTTCGCTACTGGATTGGTAGGATATGGAAGTTATGCTACTATGGGAGGACAGCGTTGTTTTTATTCCCTAGGTCCAGGTGTTTCTTTCCACATCCTGTACTTGCTGATGTCAGGATTGCAGTGGGAATTTCACGGATATACTCAAGCTGCCTGAATACTACCTTACTACTATAATTGTCAAAAAGTGTTGAGTATTGTTTGTAAATATGGGAGAATCACAGGAACTACTGGCGCACAGGGAATATCGACTTGAATTATTGTATTTTGCAGTCTGATAGTGAAATCCCGAATAATTTTTTTCAAAAACAATAAAATCCCGTGGAACAAGTGAAATTCCATTGAATCTAGTGTAAATATCAACAGCAATTAGAATCCGTCTTTCATTTTAACGCAAAATCACGGAAGTAAATGAAAAAGTCCGGGAATTTCGATTATTGAATTCTAGTGCCAGCAGTATCTGGAGGTAAGTGGTTTTTCCTGTGGAAGGAGAATTATTTTTCTCTGTGCCTCAGCATTTGTATTCAAAGGAGTCTGTATCCTGCCCACCCTTGATAGAAAATACGAATTAGAAGGCTATGCTTGAACTATTCGCATCTATTGTGGAAACACCTGGACAAAGGAGCCAAGGCCCAAGGGGCCCAACTGCCAGCCAACTGTGGGCCCCTGCCGGCAGGTGGCGATATCTGCACGCCACGTAATCGCTCTCGAAGGTGGAGAAACGATGGGAAATGGTTGAAAATGCTTGAAACCGTTGGAAAAATTGGAAACAACGCCGTCCCATTTTATCACACAATTAGAGTCTACTGAGCTCGACCCACGACCCAGGGCCTTCGAAAAAACGTTATTTTTGCGAAAAAAGTCTCGAGTAATGTAATCATTTATTGCAGGGAAGCGAGGGGCGAGGGGGCGAGGGGGGGATGGACACGAGGACGACTCCAATCGATTAATTCAATAGCTCACTAATAAAGAAAGTGGTTCAAAGTTATCAGATTTTCGTAATTATCAATTTAACACCGAAACCATTGATTTTCTACAGAAACAACAAAAGAACTTTTCCGTCAGTAATTTAATCAGCTACAGAAAAATCCTATCGTTTTCTTCTCAGATCAATAATTTTCGAGATAATAATGGCAAATTGGAATGAATCAAATTCATAATTTTTTTCGATGACCAATTCACGATCCATTCTTTCAATGCTCTTTCTGGAAAATCAACAATTAACAGACCGTCGCTATGGAATTAATCGATCAAGACGCTCTCCAAATTAAATGTTCATGCAAAAATCGTGAAAATTTATCCCCGGCACCTTTAAAAGCCCCTCAATCCCTCAAGTAGGGATTATCTCATGAACTCATGTTCTTCTCTCTAGAAGTACAAAAAAAAATGATTCTACACTGCTTGTTTTCCCTCGAACCGCTGAGCTAGATCCGAAACGAGGTCCTTGTAGATGAGTGGATCGATGTTCTTGCCGAGCTGATAGAGTACGAACCAGTCGCCGATCTGGAACCTCTGGGATATCGTCTCAATCTGATCCTGGGGTGAGAGACGAGAGCGGGCACGAAGAAGAACGAGACGAAGCTTTGGCCCAGCCACCACAGCTGCACGATAAGCAAGACTCAGACCACTGAGAACCGAGAGAATGATGAACCAGAACCAGAGGAACACATAGATTTTCTCGTTGACAATATTAAGAGGTAGAACGCAGAGGCCATCGAACTTCTGTACAGTACCAGATGCTCCGTATTTGTGGAAAGTACATTTAGTGACTTTAGGGAAGACCCTAGCCATGGGATCGATCCTCTCTTCAGGCTCCATCTCCGTAAACTTGACAACATCAGAGCCATAAGTCGTAAACTCACCATCGAGGAAGAAATCCATGAAATAAATCTGTCCCACGCAATTTATAAAATTGAGGACCTCGCAGAAGAAGAAACGATAGGCGTAGAAATTTTGGCTATGAAGATTGGTGCCGAAGTAGTCCACCAACAGTTTACGTCTCTCCACTTTACAAGAGTCATTCACTACAGGACAATTGAGATCCAACACGAGCATTTTAATTCTGCCTCCCTCCCAGGACTTCCAGAGATAACGGGGCACGTAAAAGAGCATCGCTTGGAAAAAGAGGGCAAAGCATACCCACTGATAGTACTTGTGATACTTTATCTCGTCCTCGCCCTCAACGTGAGCAGCAACTCCTGGCTGCACCAGGTCCTTCCCAATGACTCCACTGCGATCTGGAATGGTGAAGGTCGAGTATATCCAGCAGTAAGTGTCCATCACGTGCAGGGGAATCTCATCCACAATGCAATCGATCGGATCCCCAATGTACTGGCGAGATGTCACCAGGAGGGAAAACGCTATGAGAATAATCACCGTTGCTTTATAATGCAAACGAAACACGTTGTTGTCGATGCACACGGAGTCGAGCTTCAAGAGGCCCTTCACCGAGCCGAATACGTCAAACATGGCTGATTCTTCACTCAGTTATTCACGATGTTAAATATCTCACTATTACTCACGTCACCTTTCAATGTTTCAGCGGACTAATCGCTCAATCAATCAATTAATTATGCAATTAATTGATTACCTCAATCACTTTTGTTTTGGAAGTAACCACGAGGGTTGGAATAAACACACGCATCCGGCGAATGTTGAGTTTCTTCTTTGGATATTCAAAACCCGAATATCACTTCAGTCTATCACTCTCAATTAATCAACAGACGATTGGGTGCGCAGGGTAATCACTTGGTTTATGTTAACCTCGGTAGTTATTTCAATGTGCGAATTACAATGCTGGAGTATAACACGGGCTTGAACCTTCGGCTGTCGGGCATCGGGGACTGAACGAATGCCTCGGAACAGCCGGACCCTCACCCCTCCTCTTCTCTCACTCACTCGTTTGGCTGGGGTATAACCTTTTTCCCCCCTCTCGGATGCTTTCAGTTTAACCGACGGGGAACGAATCCTACGGCAGCTTACTGTCTCACTCTGTGAGACACTCCGGTTCCGAGACCCCCACCCGATTTTTTTTCGGATGATTCGTGTACCCTCGTGCCGAGAACCCCCTCTCTTTTACTTGATTGGGGAGAAGGGGGTCGGACTGGAGGGAGAACGGGGGAACCGCACTATCCCCCCCGGAGCGCGGCGGTCACTTCGCTTTGTGCTCGGCCCCACTCGGGATGGGTCGAGTCTCATCGGGCACGCATGCGCCCGCGGAACTTTCGATCTGTTACCATGGCGACGACGTGGGGCCTCAGGAAAAACGGAAAATCGAGGGGCATGTGACATATTGTGGCGGTATATTTTCGTGGGATCGACCACGAGGGAAGGAACAGGAAGTTTCAGGGAAATCTGGGGGATGTTTCTTCTGGGACTTACAGCTTTATGCGGAGATTCCAGAGATTTTGAGATGAAGGTGCGATTTTTTTTTTGTTAGAATTTTGATGAGTTCTTAAATGGCGACAGAAGAATCATCGATTCTCAACAGTTCTTCCTTTTTCAAGTAAACGATTAATGATCAGTTGATAATAAGGGTAATTTATTATAAATTTGAAGACTTTCACGAATTTAAGGCTGAAATTTTTTAATATATAAAAATGAGTGAATATCAGATGGAGATATCAACTAGAAAAAATGACTTGGCATTTTCAATTGATTCGCCAATTAGAAGAATATTTATATATGTATGGTATATGATAAAATATTTGAAGTGCCCAAAATTTAGAGAAAGTAACAATCTGCAAATATATGCCTGTAAATTTGCCTCGACTTCGTGTATTTCTGAAACCCACACAAAGAGCACTATCGTAGTAGTCTAAAATTTTTTCACATCGGTAAGCCACAAGGTGAGTCAAATTTCCATCGTATCCCTTCACCCGGTGGTTTCGGGGTCCTCTGAGTGTGTAAGCAGATACCCACACAAGTTGGCTTTATCGCCAGTAATCAGGGACAGTAGATCGGGCACTGGATTCATTCCTCTCGACCACGCGCTCAGCCCCCCGATAATTATGCACGTGGAGAACCGCGTCGTTGAAAAATCCCGACGTCATGGTTTAATATCCAGAAAAGAGCGCGTGGTTGCAGAGCAACTTGACTCAGTATTCACCACTGAAATATCATTACACCTGTCGCAATATCGGTTGTGCCAAAGAATTCATAGATGGAATGAAAAGCATTCATTACATTTCCTTGAATTCTTTGGAGTTGGCGAAAAAATTCCAAGAATTTCAGGAAATTTCTACGAATTCTTTCGAAAATCGATGAATCCCGCTCAGTAATAAATTTCATTCTATTCTCGTGATTTTATATTAATTTTTACGGAATAATTCAGCAGCCATGAAGTAACGGGTAACAATCCTAATTGTTCTCATGTCGAGTCTTTGAGAAATATCTCTAAATCTAAGAGAGGTAGTTAAATTTATCTCAGAACCTCTTGTGTAGAGTGAAATGAGAGTTACAAAAAAGGTCTTGACAAAAATTCCGCAATCTCTCTTACTTGCCCATTAGCTAAAAATTCCCGAAAGTTCGCTGTAGCCAGACATTTGCAAGACTCAGCAGAAATAGGAACTTAATAGGAAAATTTTTAACAATGGAAGAAGTGATAATTCGAAGATTATAGTTATTTGCATGATGTGGCAGGTGGTGCGGAGGAATAATCTCATTTGCTCTGTACATTCATTGCATGTAAAAATAATGAAAAACTCCAACGACTCTATTTATAAGAAACGAGGGCTGCAAAGGAGAGGGAAAAATCTCTTTATAAATAAATTAATATCGGAAATTCTTGAGTGGAATTAACTCATCCGTGTCATCTCTCCAACTCAAGATAAACTTCATCTTCACACCTTGTATTGTATTGTTGACTGTCACGACTCCCAACTTGTCCATAAAACTCGTGTAACGGGTTCCAAAATCAAATAGCAGTGTTTCTCGTAGCATTCGAACTCTAATATTTTTTTTTTTTCTTTTCAGTATCCGATAGCTTTACACGACGAACGTGGGCGCCTCTCTCCATTTATTTTGTACCCCCGAGACACTCATCGCATTGCGATGCTCCAGAGGCACCGAATCACTCACCATGTGTTTCTCACGGATGCAGTATCGAATGCAAATGATATTTCGAGATATTGGTAAGTGTTACCACACGGATAGAAATATTTAATAAAATTTACCCTGGCGTTTTGCCATTGTGTAGAAGTTATGGAACTTTTACTCCAATTTATAGTCAAAATTTTTAGAGAATTAATTGAGATCATAAAAATTCGAAGTAAATTTGTTGGAGATGGGAAAAGTCATCATAGCTAGTTAATTGACGATTCTTACAATGATATAATATTCCGAGTTTTCTCAACGTAATATAAAATTCAAGGAATAAAAAATCAAATTTATTTTCCTCATTATCATATTACAAAATACTGTGCATAAAACTCAAGATTTTTATTACGAAAATTCTTCAAATTTATAATTGACAAGATAACAATTTTCACGAGTACTGAAAGTTTCAGTCAGCAATTTTCGATTTAGTCGGTTAATAGCATTATGGAATCATTGTATTATGCATGAGGTTTGCACACGTTCTTCTTGGTCGTAAATATTTCGGTGAACATAATCGGTAACGAGTACCTTTGAATTACGGACATGGATTGAAATTCTTTTGAAATTGTAGTGCCTGCTACGGGACCATACAGGCGAGTGTTTTCGTGTCGAAATAACAGATTAGAATTTTTTATTAATTGGAAAATCAGTGTTCTTTAAGAAATGGTTGACGAAAAGTTCTTTAAGGCCGTAGAAATTCCAAACGATCGCATGAATTCTCCGCTGAGAACTTGATATTCGATCGGTGTAACTTTTCATTAATGAAAATTTAGTGCGATATGTTTCGTCGCAACTAAGTATCGGATTTACAAATAATTTTACAGTAATTCAGGAATATTCTTTCGAATAATTAAATATAATAAACTCCAGGAATGCGTAATGATCAGATGCACTGTTATCCAAATCGTAATCTTTGAATATTTCTCCGTCAAAGTTATGCAATAGTCTGGAACGAATAAAAAAAATTATAAAAAGCTAATAAAAATGGGCTGAGTGATTGTAATTGTTAGCTCACGAGTATCGCCTTCATGATGCAGTAAACATAAAGTAATCTACGTTAATCGCTTCATTTTCTGATAATAATTCTATGATTAATCATGGAACAGTCACTAATCCACTGTCTGTACGATCATTGATGATCTCAACGGTACTGAGGCATTGTATTCGTCATGGAGCACGTTCACGTGTCATCTGCATTGAAAAATGTTCATCTGAGTTTGAAGCTCATGGCCACAAAAAATTCTAATTACTGTACATTTATTCAAAGCTTCCGTATTAGGGGAAACAATGAGTTAGTGCCTGCTGAACAAAGGCGACTTAGTCATTGATGCACTCGAGACCTCAATGACTCAGTAGATTTCACTCGGTGTTTGTATCGAATTCTATAATCAAACATTCTCAGGAGAACTTGCTCTCAAACCGCATGGACCAAGCCTCAATATCAGTTCCTCCGTGGGAAATCCACTCCGGTGTAAATAGAATACCTCCTCGATTTTCATGTTCCCCTGATACTTTTTTGAAAAATAGGAATTCTCAAAGTTCCGTGAATACCTCTTCGATTTCCATGTTTTCCTGATATTGTTTCGAAAATTTTGAATTTTAAAATTCCAGTGAATACCTCCTCGATTATCATGTTCGAATTTCGAATTTTTGAATTTCAGTGAATACCTCCTCAATTGTCATATTCCTCTGATACTTTTTCGAAAATTTCGAATTTTCGAA